AGGACTAGATGTAATATATTATCACTATATTATATTAACCAAATTTAGACAGCTATTTCTTCACGGTAGTTCGTACCGTGACAGCTCTATTCTTGCAATGCCCGCCCGTGTTAAGTTTAGCTCTTAGATGCGTATTCCGACTGAAACTATGAAAATTCTGAACGACTTCACTTAACAGTCGTAGTATCTAATGAATTCCTGAAACAATTAAACAAGCTAATATTCAGTAATTAGATTGAAACGGAAGTATGGCACATGATCATATGTTTCTCCATATCGCACACGTTTAAGTTACTTATTGAAGTACTGTACCATATTTCGGTATAAATTTCGATAAAAAAGATAAGCTACACAAAAACAGTTCTAGTTTGTTATTTTGTAACATAAGAAAAATTAGTTTATATTATAATCAATCGCTCATTTCTATAGTTACTATCAATTTAAAAGGCTATTGCTGTACTAGAATAATAATTTAACTATGATAGATATCAATACTAACCTATTAATGCATGTAAAAATTCTAGAATTAAACGAAATTAAAGCGTACTAATCCATTACGCTAACTATATCAACTCTTACGTAATTTACTAAAATGTTTTCTTATATGTATAATTTTCGGTATTAACAATATAATCGATTTAAGTTGTCAGTTACTAACAATTTAAGGCAACACTTCGGTTAACATACTTCAAGAATACCTCTACATAAATACCCCAAAGTATGAGTATACAGTACAAATCGATTAGAATATTAATTCACGAAATGTCCACTACTATACAAAATTAGTACTTTTGTATATCAGTACATGATATAGATAATTATTTACTGTATATGTCTGAGATCTGATAAACGGACAGGCTCGCATTCATACTAGCGCGTTACGAATTAATCTAGAGGATTTCTTTGCTCCTATTAATACAATTTGAAGGTTACTGGTAACAATATGTTTCATCTGTTTCGTATACTTATATTCTTACGCATTTCCTAACGCGATCAGAGATTACAGTACGCGAGGTATTTGGCTAAACTTATAATTGACTTAATTTAAAGCAAGCTAAATTGTCAATTGAATAAAATTTGGATTACAAATATATTTTTAGACTTAAATTATATAACTTTAGGCCATATTTTGTTGCGGTACGTATAGAATATGATCTGAGCTATGAGCTCTCTTATAAATTAGGTATCTAACTAATTTACTTTCCTTTACTGGATTACGAATTAGTTTTACAATCTATATCCCTACTGATAAGCTATAAAACCGTATAATAACTTTTATAACGTATTTATTCTTGACGATAATCTTTAACATAGTGACAGGAGAGTATAAAGCGTGAATTTTGTGCCAACATGATTAACCATTCAAATGTTTCTAAGATTGTTGCTGTAGTCTCGCAACAAAGAAAACAGCAAGAACTGCAAATATCATGAAAAACTTAGTATTAGATCTTTTCTCCAGAAAGTTAGGTTGTTACGCTTGTACTTTAACTAATACTCTAATAGCTCAATTGAGTAACTTCTCTTATACTTGATTAAACAATGGACATTTTCACTGATGCTAAGCAAAATTTTTAGTCTGCATTCTATTTATTACTACGCAGTATTACTTATAGAATATTACTTTTTATAAATTATTGTTACAAATCTCCTTTGTAACAAGAAGCCGGGTCTTAAACGCTATTTTCACTAGTACTCGTGTTCCCAACTAACTTAGGGACCTATCGTAGTTGAACTAACTCTCAGCTACACAAAAAAGCTACTAATGAGTAATAGGTTTAAATACTTCACTTTATTTTCGCCAGACTTAGTCGTAAAATGTACTAAAGAAAAACGTAAGAATATTCTTAGCAATAATAGTCAAAAGATCCTGCAAATGACTAATTGGAACTGAGCAGCTAAGCTAGCGCTCGGCTTTTTATAGTCACTTATTTCCAACTACTTATTTGGTATATTATGCAAATTTGAATATAGGCAATAGGTCAGTGATTTTTACAGTAGCACATGCAAATTTTTTACTTATAAATTTATAAAGAAACAGGTATTGCCAACACGATATACTAAAATAAAAGTAAAATTTATCACTTGACTGCTGAGGATCATGATATACGTTAAGTAATTTAGATAAATAGTCTAAATTCAACAGATGTACTATTTGCGGCATTTGATATGAGTTTTCATCTATTGATTGGGCGACGAGTTTACCCGATTTTGTTTTACGTAAGTTTTAAACTAAATATAAAAGTACGTTAAACAAGATTTTAGGCTGGAATATTGTTAAGTTGTTTCAGTAATAAAAGTCTAATTGTTATACCCTAGAAAAGGCATTAAGTTATCGGAATTACAGTAGCGGTAGAGTTACTAATAGCAATTAAAGAAATCTAATAGGAAATTACTGTAAGATCGATCTGACTAGAGGAGTAGCTAGAATTAGATAGCTCGAGAATGGAAGATTCGTAACAAGGATGCTACATGCTATCCATTCATATCAGAATAGAATAATGGCTGAAATAAAAATGCTAAATTGTTCAGAAAAGTAATATGGTTCACTCACTGTTTTGTCAAGTTACTGAAACTATTTATGGATAATTTATACGATTCCATTAGCTGAATACTTTAATTAATAAATTATATTTTAAAATAATACAACACTGCTACAATAATAAAAGCATACATGCCTAATCTCTTGCCAATGTAACTGTCTAAAGGTTAGCACTCCCAACATTTATGCCAGTTGATGTCATGGAATTTTACTATTAAACTTTTCATATTTTATACTAAAACTATACTGCTTTATGCCTACATGCCATCTTAGATAAATGTGCGTTTATGAAGTTATGGTATCGATGAGAAGGATCTTTATACGAAAGCAGGAGTACTTGGATCTTAATCATGAGTTTTTAATGTAACGAAATTAAAAGTAATTTTTACATTTTAACTGATGATATATACCGATCAGTTATACTGTTCGGTATTTGTGTTTTATAATGAAATAAACGAAGTTGGAGGATAATCTGATAACAGTGTAATCATTGCAGTTTCTAAAAATTTCACCGTTAGATGCCTCCTCATTATGAAATAATGAAAGTGTTATAAAGGCAATCTTATAATAGTATAGTCATCATAACTCTTAAATAAATCTACTATTGTATGCTTGCTATAATGTAGTAAAATCATTAAGTGCAATAAATTAATCTTACAATAGCATAATCATCATAATTCTTATAGAAACCCAACATTATAAACTTACCGATAATGAAATAAATTTATTAAGAGCAATAGAGTAATCTAGCAGTAATACAATCATTAGAGTTCCGAGAAATTTCTACTACTATGGACTTAGCTACAATGATATACATTTAGCATAATAAAGGTGATTTTATGAAATATACCAATAGTCTTTATAATTCCTAAATAAAATCTATTTTCTCTCTGTGTATTGGATATATTTAGGTAAAGTATCGAAAATTTAAATTTCTTAGTTACTGTAATCTACTGTGCCAAGCGAATATTTTATTTGCATCCTCATATTCCATTTCGATTAATAAGCTATACAGTATTTTGACAATTAAGGCGATCATAATGCCATAATTAATAATTCAAAAACTCTTTTTCTTAAATTTTCTAGTTATAGTCATGTTAAAGAAGTGAATTTTAAAGTTTTATTACTATATGGAATACAGTACAATCGATACATCGCAAGCGGTAAAATTGTTTCATTTTAATTTGTCCCGACATATTAAGGCAAAAGTTCACCACCATATCGTGCTTTTAAGTGTTCTTGAAGTGAAAAAAAAAAATAGCGGCCAATGACATCAGTTTAAGCCTTTTTGTAATAAGGTATTCATTTATTCTTTGTAAAGTGTTCATCTTATGGTAACCGGTAAACGACTATAAGCTGATAAATTATTTAATATTAGCTACATTAAAGTTTATTATGTGGTACTAATTAATAAATCAAACTAACGTACGATCACGATGTAAATAATTGTATGATGTCAATAGAATCTTTAGTTAGAAGTTATAATACTTTTAACAGATACTGCATATAATATTAATTAATTCAAGTTATTTCCTTTACTTTCTGGGGAAAAAAGTAACTATTGCAAATTGTTAAGTTAAGAAAATCCACTGAAAAAGTAGGTTATCTTTCAAACTTTACGGTGAAGTTTTATAGCGAGTAACGTATTCCAAAATTTAAAAGTAGATTTATTTTTTGATAGTTTCATTTTGTATTCATTTCAATTTGTTAGTTTTTCTTATTACTAATTGTCGTTTCATAAAATAAAAGTATTTATTAAATGAATAAATAATGTTAGTAAGACGTTAACAGATATAATAGCCTGTCGCTATTTAGATTAATATTTAAATCAATATTCGCATTTTGAAGTCAATTTTTTTAATAGTACAAATCTACTGTAAAGATAGGAACAAAGCTAGAATTGTCCTATTTTTGCATAATTAATTTTATCTATACGTCACAAAATTTGCTTCATAACAGTATTTATCAACGAAATAGTTGTGAAATAGAATATCAATTTAAACCAGTCTCTAACGTAAATTAATATTGATATTCTAGTTTATTAAAAGCTGTCGATGTTCAAGTAAGAAATGGCTACTTTAGGATGGGTAAAGGAAGCATTTCAAAGTGCAAGGACAGACAATTTAATCAATAGCAGTAACTATTCCATTATTAACAACGTTACGAAAAGCAGGAATAATCTCGCCTATATGCTACCATTTAGTATTTTAACGACCATAGTGAATGGTCTGGTTTGTTATGCAATTCGAAAAAGAGGCTTATTGCGATTGTCAATTTACAGCTTTATTTTCAATATGTGTATTTCTGACATATTAGCGCCAGTTGCTATTACAATTAACAGTTTTATCATAAATGAAATCCAGTTGCAAAATAAATTGTTATATGAAATTAGTTGTAAATTTTTTAATTATGTCCTAACTGTTAGCATGGCTGTATCGATGATATCATTTACAATTATGGCCGTCGATCGATTTTATATTACAGTTTTGCGTAAAAGGCGGAGATTATTATTCAGTAGTAAACGTAGTGTCCGATTGACCATTTTCTGCATCTGGCTCCATGGTATTATTACAAGTATTCCTGTACTACAAATTATGGCAATGGTCTATGAACCCAATCGAGCCTGCGATATTATTTATGTTGGTGACTATTACAATATTCCTTTTTTTACTTTCTTCTTGATCATCAATTATTTCATTCCAGTCCTTATTACTGCTATATTATATATTTTCATCGTGATAAGATTAAAAATAGCTGTCATGGCTAGCCTTCCTTATGGGCGAACCGTTCCACCAGTAATTTATGTCAATAAAAGAAAAGCGATTAATACTATCAAAATGATTGCGACTACGACCGTCTTCTATGTTTTGACCTCTTTCCCATATGTTGTTATTATGTTGATACTTTCAGACGCAAAAGTATCCATGATAGAATTACGACGAAAAGGACCTGTCTATTCTCTACTTATAACTCTTGGTTTCCTAATGTCAGCTTTGTCATGCATTGAAAATGCAATTGTCTGTGTTGTCATGAGCAAAGAACTGCGAAAGACTATCATCAACAGTCTACGAACTCTATTTGGTCGAAAAACCGTCCATTATCGAATACATGTCAAACAGAAATAATCTTATTGATTGCTGTACAGCCATTCCCTTTCTAGCTAGAAATACCAGTTATATAGTTACTCGTCTGGTAATATAGCTACGGTGCCTAGATTAAAATAAATATTACTTTTTAATATTATATGATAGTACATTATTATATTAAGTATAATGAATTGGAAAAATAATTAATCAGTAATGATTATTTCCTTGTTCTAACGTATTCATCGTTCTCTGTATGAATTTTCCTGGCATTATTATGAATACTTGCCTGAAAAATCTGTAAAATATGAAATGAAATTGACCTTTTCGATTTATTCTATATTATCCACTTATTTCTATCTAAAAACCGATTTTTTGAAATTATTTTAACCTTAAGAAATTGATAGAAGGATCATAACTTACATATATACTGTATATGGGACTAGATACCATCTGTCACGTTGGCTGATTAAAGTTATATTGTTTAATGGCTGCATACTCGTATGTGTTAAATTAAATCAATGATTTGAAAAGTATCTAATATGTATTAATATATCTAGTTCAGTCCTTGCGTACAAAAAGATCACGTATTAGAATATTTTAACAGATCAAGTCAAGAATGAGTTAGACAAAGTTTCTTTCAATGAATTATTAGAATTGCTGTAGTTAATGACCACCATTCACTTAGCAAACATTCTTCTTTAGCAGAACTTTTCTATCGAATGAATCGGTTGCAGAGTTACAAATCGAAATTTGAAACGCGGAAAATGATAAAGCTATTGTAGAAATTATACTATGAGTCTACTGTCAGGTTTGTCCTCCCTGACATTGACCTACAGTACGATTCTAAATGCTGACGATCTCCTATCGTCATAAGAAATAACAACACCCCTAGTCTCTTTTGGATATAACTGAACCCGAACTTTATATTTAAAAGTCAGTCAGTTTATAATGAATCGATATACAAACATTAATTATCAGTTTATAGATAATATTATAAACCTATGCCGTTATCTATTAAAAATATGTAAAACATCATAGATCACGATATGCAAATACATTTCCCAGAAAGATCATCTTTTGGAATCTATGTTACGACAGCTACATAGAAGTTACTCTGTAACACCTAGTCAAATAGCATCGATGTAATACCTATATAATACTTATTTTGATAGAATTTCTAATGTCTATGAATATTATAGTAGAAATACTATCCTTCTTACGGACGTTATTATACTGGACGCTTTGAAAATTATGGAATTTGCACTCAATAAACTAAAATAAATAATAAACAGTTGAAAGATGTCGGAGAAGATTTCTTCTTGTTTGTTCCATTAATTATCATTCTATAAATTACAATGAAGAAATTAATGACTGTAGAGGTGGCAACGATCAATCTAAATCTTACTATCGTCATTTATTTATTTATCAACTATCTCTGGCTACTGCTACAGTGATGCTGTTATATAATAATTATGGCGTAGGTTTAATGTAATCCGCTACAACAACTAATTCCAGAGGTGACTAGTTCTATTTCTTATTGATTAATATATTGTCTGGTATAAACTTGATTTAAAGAAAGGAGATTATTCAATAATTAAAATGAAACTTACAAGTCTTTGTTTCTACTCTTTAGCAAAGTTATTAACTCTAATCACAGTGATTAAGTGATTTACTCCATTTGAATGACACTATAATAAAGTGTTTTCAAAATAGTCAAATGAGAAGTGGAGTTTCTTGTAAACTTGACTTTATGACATCAATTGATGATCGTCTTACAACTACCGAGGACTACCTGGCTGCAATCAGATTATCTGAATTATTACAGCCAATTTACGATTACATTATACGAGTAAACAATCAGTTTCAGAATGAATTTTTTATTGTAATCTTAGGCTGATTTGAGGCTGCACTGCAGACTCATATTTCAAGTTAGTGAATTTTGAGGGATGTAAAACCTTTTCACTATAAGTTACTTCAATTGCATTCTCAAACATTCATAAAGTTTTGTATACAACATTAGATATTCATACTGTATTTGTTGCTTGTTCTTATATAGTAAAGTCAAGATAAAGATTGAATAATTATTTTGGTAGTACGACAACTACTAAAATTAGCCTAAGATAAGAATTATTATAAAATCGCACGAAACTAAGTCAAGTTGTAGGTTGGATTATAAAATTGGGCTAGTATCTATTCTTAGATATGATGACAGGTAGGCAATGTAGCCTTTAACAGCGATGAAGATGCACCTTGTATGTAAATTGCATAGATCATTGAAGGTAGGTAGTCCTTGGTGTTGTTAAATAAGCCAAATTGAATGTAAATAAAGCTAGGTTTTACGAGAAATAAATGGCTCGTGTTTGAATATTTTGAAGACGCTTTATTACATATACCAAAGTCGTAATTTCAATGTCGGGATAGATCAACTTGCTAATAGCCAACTAATACCTTTCCGTTAAGACAAATCAACATCTTTTCGTGAAAAATTTGCCCTCATTAAGTAAAAATTTGATTATAATTGTAGCGTGTGTTAGTGTGTGTTATAGGTAGAGTTTTACTAATATAAAACCCTGCAGTCTAAGTTATGTGTAATACTATTAGCTTTTACTGAGTACTATCAATGAATATATGACAGTATTGGTCTTGGTTATCAAGGTCTATTTAAAAATTTACCGTTGTAACTTAACCTAAGTCTGATATAGTAGCTGGAGATCTGTTGTAGACTATAAAACTATGGTAGAAATTTAGTTTTTCTTTTGATTTTCAATCCTAGCTTACTCTTGTTACAAATTGTTCAAAGCAACCTGAAATACTACAATAGAATTTTAACATTGGAATGGCAGTTCTGATTAGTAGCAACTCACAAGGTAAATTTACCTAGATAGCTGAATTATTTTATTTGTTAGAATACAAGGTCGTTGTCACGATAGTAAAATACTGTGAAAGATAATCAAGTGTTAATTTTCAAAAACACTACTTCATGTTTGATTTAATAAAAAATTTATAGTAGAGGGCGTAGTAAATTAAGCTCTGATTATATTTGGATTATACCTAAATTTGAACGTGTTAGGATTAAAAATAGTCTGTCTATAGTACTTGAATTATTCATAAGTGCTAGCACCGATTGCTATGTGAAATTACTAAGTATAGCTTGTAGTATCAAATATGGAGATTTAATCCAAAATTATATTAAGTTGTAATAGTAATTCGTGTGATAGAAATGTTGTAATTAACAGGCCTAGACTGGATTTCAAAGAGGTCATAAATGATACATTTTGGATGCGTTGGCATCCATTATTAGAAAATTTACTAAAATTGTAGCTCTGCATGCGGTCGAAGTTATCATAATATTGAAAATCTATTTAAGACTGCGCCTATGATGAATAAAGCGCTTTTATAGATTTCTCGAAGTTCTTCGTGTATTACATTGACTACTATAGTTGGCTTGGGATCGCCAAAGGAAGCGTAGTTCCTTTATAGTAAATTGCCTAGTAACTGTACTCTAGATTGGTTCTAGTCTTTATTACGACGTAGCAGTATAGTAATAGTAGTGATAGAAGAGAAAGTGTCTCTTCTCATTGTGTTACTGGACTTAGAGAAATTTTAGTCCGTAATATGTCTATATATTTAGGATAAATATCACAGTTGTTGCAGACTGTACTGTAAAGTAGAACTTGTCAACGTTGTGGGCACGATAATTATAATTAACGTCATTCCTCTGATTGCTGTATAATATTGCAATAATTCTATGATTTTTGCAAGAGTCTACTAAATAATGGCTGCTGTACTAGTCATTAGTGCTCATTTTCTATGAGGAAGGTAAAAAGAGTAAATAAGGGAATTATAGTGTTCGGTAGTTAATAATATGCTTTTTGTTATGCTGCTATAGAGCTAAAATACTATCTATAGTAATTAGTGCTAGAGTTGATAAACTATTGAACTCGCCTTTATTGACATTGCTCTCCCTTTCTGAATACAGAACAAGAAAAATCACAGTTAGAAGCAGAACTATTGTTCGCCTTAGTTTTTGGGTGGCTTGAGACAACTTATTTTCCAGCTGTACCTACGAAACTATCCAAGATTTTGATAGCTAGAAAAAATAGTCAATCTATTTAATAATTAGAACTCCAACATATTGTATCTCATATCATATCAAAATTTGGTCATTACTTTACATTAAATTGAAGAATTCAGGTCTTATTCAAGCATTAATTTTATATAAAATTGATACGATAACAGTACATTTACCATTTAATATGAAGAAGAAATGATCCTCGACTTCCTGTAATAAGTACAAAATAGTTAAACTCATAATAAAGAATTAAAACTTTAGACCTATGTCCAAGAACGGAACGGTTATCATATATTAAAATAAAGTTTTAATGTATGCAATCTCATCTACAAACTACAAAAAAACAAATATGTTCATTCCGATTATGATTTCTATGTCAAATGAATAAGTGAATAAATTGGGCATTAATAAGGGTATCAATTTGTAAATATTTCTGTATATTAATTGCTAATATCCTCGATACCTAACGGAAAGTTAAATGAACCCATCGTTTCCAATTTAATTTAATAATATTAATACATTATACAGTACTGTATTATAGTGAGGCATTGACTATGCATAGTGTTATGAGCTAGGGTATAGCTAATCTTGCTATTTCGACAATTTATAATCATTTAGTTGATGATTCAAGAAATATACAATTACTTTCAAGGTACTCGTTGCTTTTCTATTTCCAATCTGTAGATATCATTTATCGATTACCCGGGTATATATTACAATGGATTTATTTTTCTTATGTATCTCATCTACTATAGTTTATTCTATGGTAAAGTACAGTACACCACTCCTGTAGCCCCAATAGCCCTGTGAATAAAGTTATTATCAATATGAGTTATCGAAGCTGTGTTTTTATAAATGTTTAATTTAGCTGTAGATATGGTTATCGTTGGATAGATACTTCTACATTAGTTCATTGGCACGTACTCTAATAATATTCGCAGGATAGATCGACAGAGGAATAATATCCAACGGTGTTTATTCTTACGATAAATTTTCTATTTATAGTTACTGAACATATTCATGTGCCATTACTTATAGTTTAGAATGAGTCTTTATTGTGGATTGGATGTTCGTAATTTATTTAGTTTCAATTTACTACTGAAAGTATTATAAACACAAAAATCTGCCTTCCTTCACAAACTATTTCTGATTTACCGCGTATACTTTATATAGCTTACTTTGATTTCGAAATTCACGATATCATTAACTTTCATATGTGCAAATTTAGTGATAGACAGAAAGTTTATTCATTTCTCGTCACTAAAACAAGAAGCAGCAATAATACGAATAACATTCGCTCCATAAGTGAAGTAATATTATTATTAATATGATTGCTTTTCCTAAAAATATTCTTAGCCATCATTAGTATGGAAATAAATAGGAAATTAATCTATTTCGGTTATAGAATCTGTATAGATAATACGAGAAATAGTATTAGGTACGGCTAAATTGCTATAGGAGGACATTTTCAATTTCGATATTTCCTGGCACAGTATTAAAATAGACGAAATGGGGAGAATTATTTATCGCCAGTCGTCATAGATATATCTGGTTAATTTCTATTAGTTGACAGCATTTTCATCATCTCAAGTTGGTACTTAGGTATATATGGTATGGTATGAAAACTAGTCTTTGCTACCCTGGTACTCTTCAGAAATAAATTCTAAATGTTTTATTCTATGATTTTCATATCGAGCAATTCAGAGATGATATTCTTAATTTTGGCATGAATTAATTGCTCTAATATCTCTGAAGTTCTAAAGTATTTTAGACTGATTCAAAGTAAATGTTATTTTTGTATTATGATTAATTAAACTTAATCCTCTTTATTTATTCTAGACAGTATTGATTGACCGCGCCTCTACACCTTGGTGGTTTATGAACGTTTTTTTCATTCTATTTCGCTTATTAGTAGATTTCAGACGTCATTTCCTTCTATTTGATGCAATTATTGCTTAAGAAAGAAAAAATTATTTTGAAATGATTATAATTTAGTTTCCTGAGGAATATACAGTAGATTACTATAGAATGTTTAATTTTATCACCAAATTGTGATTGCTAGAAAAATAGTGATGCCAACCAATTATGTAAAATAGTCCCCTAAATTAAGAGATAATAGCAATAGCTATCAAAGTAGTTAATACTTATCGTATTTTGATATAACAAATCAAGAAATATCGTGAGATCATTGAAAATACATTAATAAATAAGGATACTGTGATGTTTCGGAAGATTGTGGATTCGTCATGATCACAGTAAATTACCAGAGTTAATTTAGTAGAGGAATAGAGTTTATTGGAATTAGTGCAAAGGAAAAACCGTATGAGATTACAGCGTGTATTACGACGTGACTAGTCGAATAGCTATAGTAATGTAGCATAGGTAAAGCGTGCAAGCTTACCGTGTAACTAGCAGAACTAACTAACGAGATAGGTGAAAGAAGATAGCTTTTATATTGTATGAAGCACAGCAGGAGGAAATCATAAATGACTAATAAGAATATGTTACTTCTATGTTAAGACAGGGCTACGATATAATTCAGCTAGATTCAAAGCGATTTCCACAGAGTATTTTGTTAAATATAAATTATACATATTTAGAGTTATGCTACAATCTAGTGGAAATTGACTTTTACTAAAAATAGACTATACCGTATTTAGAAGTAAACACTACAGATACTTTCAGAATTAGTCGACATTGAATACCAATCCTTGGTTATTTGTATAAGAGAATTAAATTAAATTTATTCTTTAAACTGATATTTTCTCTCCGTAAGAGGAATTAAACTGCGATAGCAATGAGAGTAATAGTGAAATGAAACGATATAGATCAGCTAATAGGCCGACATCCATGTTTGTAGTAGCTGATCCTCTTTACTGATTTAATTGAGGATTATAAAGTTAGATAGGAATTGAAGCAGTGATGCTATCTTTGCTCTTAAAGTGTGATGTATTCATTCTTTGGACTAATTCTATTATCGATATTTTGCGGTTAACACATGCAAAGAATAGTTTTATCCACCTTTGTGGGCAAGTATCTTTTTAATGACATTTATATTGCTAGAGAATGGATAACAGTAGCATACAATGCCAGTATTAAATCCAATGAACGATTTTAATCCTGACTGACATAGGCGTACCGGAACTTGATCATCTCTAATGAAAAAGTCTTTAGGGCTATCGATTCTTTGATTTATGGTATAGTACCGTAGTATTATAATGCTCCACCATCTACAACTGTTAGGTTATTTTAATCTATTTATTTCTATATGCCCGTATATTGTGCTGTACATGATGAAATTATTCCAATTGGACACTAGCTTATCTTACTCCTTTGATGATGATTTATACCACATTACAGCTTATCGATTTAAAATGGAAGATATGTCACGTAGTAGGGCTAAAATGAGATTAACATTTAGGCTAGTATGGTAGTAACCGATAATCTACTAAAAAGTAATTAAGCTTTTCAAACTGCTTAAAAAGATTTTAATCTAAAATTTGTTTACTAACTCAGTTTCTGGTCGCTAGGAAAACAACTATTGAGCGCATTTTGTTCTTTAAGATTGAGGAATAAGTGCAAATATGCTTATTATCTTTTCTCTCATGTTTATAGACATAGTTATCTAGCGTTTTGTTTATTAATTACAGATATCATATTAGCGCAATTGAAAATAGTTCAGCTTATTCTATAGATAATCTACAACAATGTCAATAAAGAGAGTTTTCTTCGCATACTATCTTTTGGCAATGTATATATAACATGTACATACAAAGTTAAGGAGGTTTTTACTCTATCACAGTTCTAATACAAATGCATGATAGTTTATTATATAATCTCTGGAACAATAATTTTAATGCAGCTGGAAAAATCTTAAAAATATTTTAAAAAGAACTTTATTGTTAATTATCCACTAATATGATAATATTAACGTTCGGCTCGGTTTGCATATTAGTTTTTATTAATTTATCGTATAATTTGATTTATGCCTTTTCCTGTATGAGGTAAATGAAATTGTCAATATGGAATACGTAGTATGTCTTCAATATTTTGGTAGCTTCTACTTAAGAGCTAGAGTAGTTTTTTTATCACAGCTTATGATAGAGTTTACAACTACCGTTCTTTGATAAATACGACATAATGCAGCTTTCAAGTAGTAGATACCTTTGTTAAAGTTATTTTCATTATCGGTTTCATTTTGCTTTCCAGTCGTTCAAAATCATTTTCATCATTCTGGAAGTGACGTTGTCTAATTATAGTCGATAACTATTGATCCATTCTTAAAAGTGTTACGTAGTGATTTATTTATTATCTATAACTATATATCAATATATATATTCTATATAACGTATATAAGCCTTGATATTTAGTCAATACCGTACAGATTTATTCGACAATAGAAATGATGAAGAAAATTCCTATTGTTATTGGTATAATGGCAGTATTTATTTCCCGACAGTCATTTGTATTGGATGCCATTAAATATTTTTTAGCAAATCCTGAAATGACTAGTTAAAGATCAGCTGGAGGAGTTGCCCCTTGAGAATATCGTCAGATGAAGTAAAACCTTATGGATGATACTCGTAACTGTATTGAATGGACTACCATGAAAGCTGGTAATAATCAAGCATGGTTCAATGGTACATGTAATACAGCTAATAGCAATTACACTGCTGGCATTCGAAGTAGTTTACCAGCAACTTTAACTATCGGCATATTTGGAATTATTGCAAATGGATTTATCTGCTATACTGTGATCAAAAAAAAGCTTTTGCATTTATCCATCTATAGCCTAATATGCAATATGTGCATATCAGATGGTATATCGTTATTATCCATCATTTTAAATACAATTTTATCAACATTAAGAACATTTTACAATGTTCGTGATCGGCAAGGCTTAGCACCATATGAAATTGGTTGTAAATTATCCTACTTTATTTTAAGCTCGGGATTTACAGTATCGACTGTGTCTTTAGCCATTATTTCAGTCGATCGCTATCATATCATTGTAGGGAGTATTGGCCAAAATTCTATCTTAAATACCAAGCGTAAGATTCGATCGGCTATTATTTGCGTTTGGATATATTCATTTGCTACTAATTGCCCTATAATACGATTTATGTATATCCCAATAGATGCACCATCAACGTGTGATATCTACTTATACGGCTATAATGAGAATACCTTGTATTACCTGGTCGTTTCCGTATTAAATTATTTTATACCGTTGACAATTATGATCATAATGTATGGCAGGATTGCTAGACATCTTAAGAAAACTATAACACCACTTAATAGCATTCATTCTATTTCGAATTCTTCCTCTTATAGTATTTCTCTTCCAGGTACTAGCATCGCTTCTGCTTCATCATTCCAAATTAATCGAAAACGTCGTGTTGCCATTATTAAAATGATTGCAATTGCTACCACTGTTTATATGCTAACATCATTTCCTTATGTCTTGATTATCTTAACCTCCGCTTTTACTCAAATGACGATCCTCCAATTGCGGAATTCTGGTAATCCGGCTGCATCTGCTCTTATTACAGTTGGCTTCATTTCGACCAGTATTGCATGTATCGAGAACCCTATCGTCTATCTAATCTATAACAAGGTTCTACGCAGTGCATTACCTCAATGTTGCCAACCTAGTCAAACTCGTCGTGTATCTCAAGTTCATGCTGTTCGAAGCAGCACTAAACATCAATTCATTTTTCGATAGTGAATTTTATTCTTGTACATTGTTATTACTAATATTACAATGCAATTATAATTATTACTGCACATCCTATTGCAGCAGCTTTATTTCTATCTATCGATGGCTAAAGTTTTTAAATTTAATGCAATGAATCTTTGAATCTAGCTCTCTCTATATATATACGGTATACGTATACAAAGGATATTGATACTCGTGATTCTATCATTTAACTCCTGGTTTCTGTTTGAAATTCGATTTATAGAAATGGTATAGTATTGTGTGCAAATTTCCAGCTATATATATATTATATTATTTATATTATTACAGCTCATATTTAAACATGAACTAAAGGCCGCTGACTATAATTTAACTCTTCATGTTGTTAAATAAATTTAATAAATGGCCGATATCAACCTGAGCAAACATTTTCTTATTGCCACAAAAGAATACGGTATTCTATTTGGAAATGGTACTTATTTACATTAATATCGGCGTAACGTATACGCTTGATTTTCGCATTTTCCTTTTCACACTATTCCATGAATAGGTTGCAATTGTTGTAGGCTTGTTGAAGCAACGCATTGATTGTCTGTTATTATTTGCATGACTTAAATTACTAAATTTTACTTCTTTTAAAAAATAAAATGGACTTTAATCATGAAATCAGATTCTGTTTTATTGTATGTTCGTTCAAATCCATAGTCTATCGAATTAATCAAGTAATCATTATAGGTAATAAGAACAATAGTGCTTATCATGAGATTACTAAATTACTTTCCGGGTTAGAATGTAGAATTTCATGATAGTTTTTTACTATTGTCATAAATATATGCACATGTACAACATTATTTTCGTATTATAGCACCTTATCCTTATTTTGATAAATTTAGGCAAGGCTGACAATCAAAATTTTACCATTACGAAACATGGCGATAGGGAATTTGTGGTACCATCCATAAGCAATTTATAAATTGTGGTGTTGATAATGATTTTCCTGCCATTGTTTATAAAAATAAATTTTTCCAAGTCTGCAGGATAATCTCTCCTAGACCGATCCGTACTGAATCTAAGGTTGAATAGCTGAATATCTATCATGTGAATTACGACCAGGCTTCAAACTATATACTGGGTAAGCTAAATAGCATCGATAATCTACGTATATAATGGCTGAAATATTTAAAATTTGTAGTGTTTCTTGTGTGGAGTATAACTATAGCTTTTTCTCTCTACGTACATAAACGAATGTGTAAACAGTGTTAAATGTGAACGCTGACATTCATTTATAAAAAGCTCATCATCAGTATTTTTCGAATTACACTTTCTAGGTATTACTTAATGCCACAAACTGAGTATTTCTATAAAATAATTTAGATATAAACTTAGATATTTTTTCTAATCTGCACGAGTATTTAGTTTATATTCTAGTTTTATACTTCTACCTTAAAATACATAGTAGATGTGATAGATTAATCACTACTCACGCACAAAAAATATAGCTATTTTCGAAGCCAATCGTGTTCAGATTAGCCTATCTCATATAGTATCATCTAACTTAGTAAACTTATGCACATTTCTGATGCATTCTCAAATAATAACTGTTGCTATATAAAATGCTGCATATAATTATATATGTCCGATTTATCGCTATGGCGTCAATAAATACCATACAAAATATTTATTCTTATCTCTAAGAAATTGCTGTAGAATCACCTATATTTTTAAGGATTTCGTCCAATCTATAGTTATTATCAGTTTTATTATATTCCTATGGAATAGAGAATAGTAAAATGTTATTGATACTTAATTCTCAGAAAATGCTCTTTATATATAAACATAAATCTACAAATAATAATTAATAGTATAAATTTTACTGTGATATAGCAGTATATGTTTTACTCAAAGTTTAATGCAAGTTCAAACATTTCCCTTAAATCTTTATGTCACCTTGACTTATTTTTTTATTAAATCTATTTTTGTTCATTTATAGTAATACTTCACTTTTCATGTAGTGAGCTAATTGGCTATATGAATTTGTTTTGTATTTAATTGAGAAGTAAGCCCCAAAAATCGATTGCCAGAGGAAACTGTTTGAAAAGATTATCCTGCTGATTTTGTATTCATTAAAAGAATTTGCAAATCTGGGTATAATATTGGAAAACCAAAGATTTTTTGATATACGCGATCACTTTTAATGTAAAAATATTAGAGTTGCAAGAATCATTTGGTTCGAGATAGTTCGCTGACCCATGCTCTAGGTATTAAATCCAAAATTTAAGTTGCAACAAACTGTAACCAAGAGTCCAAGATCTAGAAACGAGGATATATCCTGCATATTAGATACAAGACGGTTTGTGATATGTTCTTGTAGTTGAATTTAAAATGACCTAATTATTTAGATATACAAGATATGCGGCTCTAAAGTTGTACGCAAAAGGTTGTAATCATTTAAGATTGATTATACTGTAATTAATATCATTAGGTATATTATATAGCTAACATAGCAGCTTTCGGCTTTGATATCCGAAACAATAGTGTTAGCTAATATTAGTAGATTTTATTGGCTAATTAATGTTACTGCAGTGATTTTCGATAATCATGCGTGTGAGAACATACAAAGAAATTGTTATATCCTCTATAAGGTATGCAGATTATGACTAATATGAAACAGAGACTATTAGCAAAAGCTTTTCCTCTACTTAATAGTTGTGATAATGGTGACATTTGTTTCAGACTAAAACGATATTATCACGGAGAAATCATCTTTCAAGCTATAGCCATGCCAAAATCATACAGGACACTGTAATTTGGGAAACCCTAGTGACAAACTATAAAAATGAAGACAGTAATTTATTTTTATCCAAAATGATTCTTTTCTTGGCTTTAAATATCTCCAACATATGATATACGGTAGTTGCCAATAAATTATAATACTAATAATGTGCAACACCAACATTTTGTAAATTGAGACTTGACGACCCACAATCAGTTAATGGTATCTTTTCCGCATAAAGTGCTAATTCTTTCATATTACAAAGTCAAGATGACTTTGCTGACACAATTCTTAGCCAACTGCGATTAGTTAATGATAGGTATATTTTACAGCAGCGATTGATACTATAAAAATTACAAAATCTACATCATTAAAATACCAATAGCTGAATCAATTGAATCATTTAGATCAGACATAGAATTGAAGAATACTAGCATGGTAGAAAATTTATAAACGAAATAACAACTGAAAACTTTACTGGGCAATAATCGTTAATAGAGGATATACAGCAGAACACAAGTCGGTGCTCGCAGGTACATAAAATTAAACATTACTACAGCTATAGCACACGATAGTGTAAAAATCGGTCAATTACTACGTGCTATTTACTACAAGCCTTTGGCACGCCATCTTAAATTAAACAGTGACCGTAGACAGTAATACTGATGTGAGCATACTATCATTGCTAATTCAGGTTGTAAACGCTATCGCAAGGATTTTTATTTACATAACAGAGAAAATATATCATTTACAGTTAATTTAAGTTGAAATCGAACGATTTAAACATTTTCCTGAAACTCTGCGCACTCTGTGTAGCCTCTTCAACAGAAATTTCACAATCCTTCCAGTTAACACGGTCGGGCATATTTAGCAAACTTTCACTCGCTAAAATTTGCCTACGTTTCACAAAATTGTTAACAAGGTATAGTATTAGAATGAAGCTATTATTTAATAATTTACCATCTACAGGAGTTTATGCAATCAAGATATAGACTTCGTATACCTTCCAAACTGTAAGGGAAATTTTCCACGAATGCGATGCAATAACATTTCACCGTCGTCAAACTCTACAAGGAAGAACGGTGACCCTTCTGATAATATCTTCATAAGTATAAAAATATTACAATCACTCAGAGCATACTTTAACCGTAAGCATTTGTTAAAAAATTAGTGTAGTTAACTTCTTAACAGAAAAATGATCTATAGAAAACGAGACAGTAATATCACCGTTAAGCAGAATTATGACATACGTACATTTTAGATGGCACACTTATGATTTATCTTAGGTTTTTAATCGTTCTCTAATACTGATAGCATCTTACTTATTAATAAATAACAAATTTTCAAGAGTACCAAGTAGTAAGTTAATCTTACTTTTGTTAAATCGATATTACTGGGGAGTAACTGGAACGTTAACGAATTTGTTTCGCCTAATTCTTGGAATAGCTCTTTCGCTATATTTGTAGTACCGCTAGGTATAGGTACAACCTGGAATATAGTCGCATTATAAGTATCGAAATATGATTATCTAGAGCGATTTTATATCTTGTATATGCAAAACTTTACTTACTTGCAATTGTAAGTGTTGACTACGAAAATTTCTTTCAAAGATAACGCACTCTTTCCCTAAACTTTTGAAGAATTTTCTTAATGAATCTTTATACGTAATTTTGTATAGGAAAATCGGTAGATTATATTTAATCGACTTTAATGGCAGCATGTACTATATTCAGTTTATGCAGCTAATAAGTCATAAAGCAATTTAGCTATCGTGTCTATTAAAGACAGCCAATGCGAAATTTAAAAGGATATTTTTTAATTTCGGTTGTTGCTTGCTGTAAGAAAGGCAATGTTATACGTTAGTGAATTTTAAAGATATTATAGTTTTCAGTGATATCACGAATAAAAGAACCTCTGTAAGATGTAGTGATGAAGGAAAGTGACCAATAGGTATTATTAGGACATGTTCAGAAGTTAGTCCACCTTTAGCTAAAGCTACATAAGACTGGGGAAAAAATTTGAAGATTTACTTTATCCAGTATAGAAATAATCGTAAGCCAAGAAAACCCTTCCAACTCACGTCTATTCCAACGCTTATTACTAAATGTTTCTCAACTTCAGCATTACCAAGACAAAACCAGCAAGGGCCACGAGAAACAGCTACGAACAGGGATATAGAAAGGAGTTATAAACTAAAATGAGACTTGAAGATATAGCGACGACAGTGATTAAGAATCAGAAAGTTTAGTATAATTGTGCTAACGTTGTCTTGGATTCCGTTCTCCTTTATGATGTTTATGGCCTCCAAAATGTCCTTGCAATTAGAAAGCATACAACTGTCGTTATTGATCAACTATTATTAATATGCTGTAGACGAATAATAATTCTATACAAATAAAAGCATAATACATAAAGTATTAATTTATACAATTCCTTTCGTGTATATTTATAACTTGCTTCCAAGTAGCTATTACTCGTGACATAAATGATGGTAAGTGTAGGTGACTTTATATAATTATCGGATGTAAACTACTAACCTGGGTTTTCGTTGTCATAACGCCTCCTTTTCTGCTGGTAAGGACGCTGATTTTGGGCGTTTCCCATATCATAAAAATATCCGCCTGAAGGCTGTGCTGACTGGTCTGCATTATGACTTTGTTCTTTTTCCAAACTGCTGTATGGAAAGTTAGTGACACTTGGAGGAATTACAGTCAACTTTTCCCGAGGTATGTGTGGAATAGGCACAATGTTGAAGGCATACAGGTACTATTATTTACGACATTAGTAGCTATGGTAAGTGTCCAATATTGATAGACATTGCGTATAATCATATGTGGTATAACTAATCGAGCTCTACAAAAGCCTGTACCTTTAACTTTTCTTCATTACCAACCGGTGCTAGCCCTAAGAAACGCGTGACATGTTGAGTTTTTCCGTATGTGCCTTTATCGTTCCTAGGCAACAACATATTTAAACATTTTTCTAGTAAATATTATTTTCAATTAATCTATAAATTAATGCAAGTATAAATAAGTGTAAAATAATTTAAACTAAAAGCCAATTAGTCAAAACATTTCCATACCTGTATGGTAGACGCTCGAAAAACAAACCTTCCGTACCAGAAAAATGATATCTAGGCTTCAATATTGACGCTAAGTGTGAAACCAAACTAGAACCAGAATCTTTATTATAATTTTCCTACGCAGAGAAAGTTATATAATTATTTTTGATATCTAAAAGATTAATGTTCCAAATACTATCATTGCCACACACTATCCAGTATTGTATTAGCCTTACTAAAATCTGTAGAAGATAGTATTGAAATGCGTACGTACCGGTGGTTGGACAAAATTGCATATTCCCTTTGGCCAGGGTGAAGTTAAAAGAACATCTACACCTTGAAAGTTGGAGTCATTGGCTTTTTTTGCAAAATAGTTGATGTCATCTCCGACGAAATGATGTTTCTAATTGATTAAGATAGTTTAGTAGAGATGATAGGTAATGGTAGACGGTACTATTGCATAAGCACATTCACCTGAACATTTGAGGGTTGCAAATTACTACCATCCTGTCCGCTCATATAAGCAATAGAGAGACCAGAAAGGGTAGTGAAGATGCCTCTCTTTCCTAGTAAGATTTCAATCAATTTTATAAATGAATATCCTTAATGATAGATAAAAGTTGTGCCGAAGGGAGTCCTCAATAAAAATGATCAAAAGGTAGGTCAGTCTATATATCTAGTGTACCTAGGACAGTTACATTTGGACATATTTCACCACCTTCTATCTCTTGATCCCGGTAGTGCACAGTTTCATCATCAGTATTTGGACCAAGGATATAAGTTGGGATAGGAACTGGTGAATTATAATAAGAAGCAAGCCGAGTTTCAATTTTTGGTAAGTGCTGTATATCAAAATATATTACGCAATGTGCAAATAGGCATTATTGTAATAAATTACAACGATGATGGAAGATGGTATAAGTTAAACTACGTTGTAAATTTGCACCGCCGTAGGCAGGAATAAATTAATGATAGTAAATATCCAACCTTCTAGCTGACCATCGATGTATTTTTGTAATTCCTCATGATGATGATTTTCACTGGAAAAAAATGATCCAACACATACCAGCATCTAAGAAATGGTAGAAAGTGAAGATTATGACGAATATTGCAAAGGTAATAAAATCTTTGTACAATCTGTATTGATGATCAGTAAATGATCATGATGAATTTGGTTAGTAACCATTTGCATTAATAAGTACGATATCGTCCTTGTGTGAAGATACTCCGATATATCATATAAAGCATATAAAGCATAAAGGATTTACTGTATAAGCATATATAAGCAGTATGAAGCATATGATACTAATCATGTAGAGAAACATTCTTACCTCAAAATTGCCGGCTTTTTTTTGTACAGAACGAACTCGTTCAAATAGTTGCGTTAGTCTTCCTTTAATATCACCACAAGCTAAACTACAGCACATGCAGTCAAAGTAGGTTTCGTTAATTCAATGAAGCAGACTTTTAGTTTAGTATTGTAACAATGCAATTATAATTTGCGTTTACGCGTAATACTACAAATATGGGGTGTAATTATTAATGTAAAGTATGTAGACTGTGTTGGGTTAGGTCATCATCGTTGCAAAGCGTACCGTTCTAGTTCTTCTCTAGCCATTGTCAATAATAGAGTTGCCGACAGACCCATAGTACTTAAAGTGCTAGAAGTTTTGCATTTAACGGTGCAATAACGATTGGCGTTTCTACATACCAATTTGGGATAGTACGCGTATAAGGGAGTTGGTAAGGTAAACTGCGTTGTACTGTACTAGCTACGTTATCATTGCTAGGTGTCCAGTTGCGGTAAGCGCAGCCATTCTCTAGCCATTGTCGAAATTGAAGACAATCAGTGAATTAGCTATCATTAGCATTTAAAGCATCCTGTAGGCACAGACATGTGTATTGGAAGGAGCTCTTGCTATGTGTATAATATAATTATCGCTTGCATTTAGGTACGCTGATTGGGATGATAAGTGTGGATGGATGGATGTAAATTGGGTTGTATTAGCTACGTTGTCAAGGTTGTCGACTTTCATTGACGATGATAGTGTAGTTTTATTCTCGAACCATTGCTCATAGTGAAATGAAAGATAGGTACCATAGCATTTAAAGCATGCTTAGCTATAGAAAATAACTATTATAAAATAGTTGTTCATGCAATACCCTATTTCAAATACTTTGATCATTTAGCTGACTGATCGACATGATGTGGTTCATGACGTTTGCAGCTAGCAGGTAGATGATGATGATGATCGTCACGAAATGATACTGTAGTTCAGTATGGAGAGATTGATCGTGTTCAATTTATCGGTCATTTCCCCACATATAAAATAAACCATAAGATGTGATACTAGTATGCAATCACCCAGTAGTCCATGCCATTGAAATTATTCTCATTACAATCACTTACATTTTGCAAGCCATAATTATGTCGATCCACTTTTCAGTTTGGATGAGGCTGTCGATTTGTAGAATGTTGATTGTTGTAAAAGCTAATCAATGAAAAGAGTATGAGATCCATTAATAATGCAACCTATTACTGAGATAGAAATGCAACACTTTTTATCCGGACCTATTGGGAAAAAAAGTCAAAGTGGACGATGAATTTCTTCCATTCCAGTTCTGCTTTCTGCAGCAGCTAGAGAACAAGATTGCTCAAGTCCTTCACGTACAGTACAGCTGGTATAGCACCGAGTAGCGAATTAGCCTGTCGTACTGTTGTGTATCATACAGTAGAGTACGATAGGACAGGACGTCTTGTTTGTACTGCGCAGTCGCAAGTTACAGTGTACAGTGTACAGTACAATCCTGTTTTTTTCTGACTACTGTACTGTACGGCAAGCGTATCGCGTGCATGGGGTAAGGTTGTAATAGATCCAATTACGCATGCGCCAGAGAACCCTTGCAAATTTCAGCGTGCTATTGGGCCACCCCTCGCCTTTTTAAGGCTCTCACATGCTTACGTTCCTTCCTTTCAGCAATTCATCATCATGGCGGAACAGGTAGGTCTCGTTCTAGCAAGACAGTGTTTACTTTTACTCGATAGAAGTGATGAAAATTGCCTTCTCTCTCTATTTCCTAGCTTGAAGGAATGATTTATGATGTACTTTTTACTATTTTAAGTGTTTGAGCTAGTGTAATGACTTTGCTATCGTGGAATTCACAATGAGAACGACATGCATTAGTCGATACTGGATGACAAGTAGATTGACTGTAGGCAATTTTTACACCATGTGCATTAAACCTTTAGACGTGTATCTGCCTTACTTGGAAAGCTTCCACTTTGTATTATCATCTTCTATTTCTGTATATTAATGGGTTAAAGAAATTCAATATTCGCTTATTACAGCGATCTTCTTGTCCAGTGATGACGATCGACATTCCTTGTAGATAATGATATGGGTAAAGTAGTTGCTCGATCAAAACGGCTTGAATCCTAGCCTCCTTGCTGGCTAGAAGAGAAAGTACATGACTGACCAAATAGGGTCTCTTGCAATCATTCCTTTTCAGTTTAGCTGTGGTTTATTGCTTATAGATGTATCAAGGAGGATGCTATAATCCACTATGCCTGATAGAATTGGACTTGATACATAGGAAAAGATTGAAATGTCGATCATACAGGCTACTACGTACCCAGCGTGATGCTATAGAGTAGATACGAATTCCAATACCATTTGGAAAGACATGCTACATTCTAGATATTGTGTAGTGATTAGCTTTATGGACAATATTACAAACTTAGTACAGATGAAATGCTATAATTGCTTACTGTCTAGCATATAGAAATGAGGTATACAGCAGTTTCTAATTCACTGACTAAAATAACCAAAATATGTGTGTATAATTGTCATGATAGTATGTGACTTTGCGTCCATCGGTACTGATTCCACAATAAGTTGAATCATCTTATAATTCTGTAGATTGAGAAAGCCTATCAGAAACAACCGACTATCTTTCAAAATAAAAAGAATGTGCTTGCTACAAAAAGAAAAGATCGCCGCTACGTTCGTAATATCGGCTTAGGCTTTAAAACTCCAAGAGAGGTAAGATCGCGCTCGATTTCACGGTTGAAACTTTGTTGTGGATGTTTGTGACTTCCTTTTAAGGTTGCAACTGTATCAATGGGGTGTAAACTATTTACTACTACTTTTCGGTTATAAAACAAACTACTTGGACGTATGACTTGCTCATCCTGTTGAATAAAATAATTGCGGCACTAAAAGTCTTTGCAATTATCTTTATTTAGGCTACGGAAGGAACATACATTGATAAGAAATGTCCTTTTACTGGTAATGTTAGCATTCGTGGTCGTATCCTGACCGGTGTAGTTGCTAAAATGAAGATGAGGAGGACGATTGTCATTCGACGGGATTATCTTCACTACATCAAAAAGTATAATCGATATGAGAAACGTCATAAGAACTTGGCTGTACATTTATCTCCTTGTTTCCCGTAAGTCATTCTTACTTGTTGTTGCATACGTATGTGGTTGTCGGCTAAAATATTCTATTAGCTTGTTAAACTTGCGGCTAATGCAATATATGTTCAACATGTGATGCTCTGGCTGTCGCTGAGTAGTAAGGACTAACTGAATTGCTTATTGGTCTTGATAATAGGGATGTGCAACTTGGCGATACTGTAACTGTTGGTCAATGCAGACCGTTAAGTAAGACTGTGCGTTTTAATGTTCTGAAAGTAACGAAACAACAATCTGGCAAGAAGCAATTTCAAAAGTTTTAAGAGACTGTAGCTCATGTTATTTCTGTATACAATGTAAACTTTTGACCAATAAAAAAAATTTCGGTTCTATTCCATTTTTTATTTGTGACATTTCAGTTACAGGGGTTAAATCAATCCATTACAATGATTGAGGTAATTCATTGAAGCTGCTACTTAGTATGGCTGAATGGAATATACGCACTTATAGTGATATCTACTTACGTACTACTGTAGCTCAAGTGCTCTACTATCATTGAAAAAGAACCATAAATCTACGTTATCAATATCTACATTTCTACAGCAACCGATTATTTCTGATATCATTTTATCCATGTATTTATGTCTGTCAATGGTTACCATATGCATGAATAATCTTAAAATTATACATCAGTTGAACAGTTGCAATTCTATATCATAAAAGATGAATATGTGTGTACGCAATTATACGATGTAGTTCACGGTCTAAATTGAGCAAAGTTTTACCGGTACAATTGGATCATACTCTATTTGTAGTTTTTAATCACTAATTAGAACTTAAGCTATATGCTGTAAATGCGACAAGATATTAGCGATACTAATTCCATTTGGAAAAGTAGGAAGATATGGATGATGAATTCAAAAAGACCTATAATGGAAGCACATTTTACATTAATTGTCAGATATACCAATGTAGTGGTACAATCGTATTTTCTTATACGAGTGTGCAGAGTATTCGTTTAGACGTTGTTCTCTGCACATACAGTTGTACATGTCCATGTATATCAAGAACATAGCGATTATCATCATTGATCAAGTTAGATTACCTTGTACATGAGCCCCATGAGAACACCAACAATCAAGACCTTCAAGAAGTTGTGATTCTTCTTTTCAGATTTGAAAAGCAGAGGTGCCAGGTATTTTATCTTTTTTGCTGAATAGGGAGGATATCTGAGGCTAAAGATTATCAAAGATATTTAAGATCAGTTGAGATAATTTATAATAGTCGAGATGCCAACCACTTATACACTGTGCTGTATTATTCTCGGGCTTACTCGTTAAGAGATTCCATGTTTAACTTTCGCACCATTACAGAACGCTTGTGAGAGAATGCATCAAAGGTATATTTACCATGATAGGCTCCCATTCCGCTGTAACCCACACCACCAAAAGGCAGTGTACTTACTACAAGGTTAAAAGAATGAGTTTTTAAACGTTTGGTTAATACTGTATTGGTAATAGAAACTGTTGTAAATGGGAAATTATGACTGGGTTAATACTGACGTGAGATATGCATGAGTGTATCATTTGCCAGGCAACCTCCTGAGGTTGTATTTTGTATCACTTTATCCAGGAAAGATTTTTGGTTTGAAAATACATAAAGGGCGAGAGGCTTTTCCCTAGTAATAAAAAGAGATTCTTGAATCTACCTACAGATATCTTTAAATTTTGAACTCAATCAATTGTTACACTAATCTAATCATAAGTTTCACAACAGTCCATCCGATCTTTAGTGCTGTTACCTTGAATTTACGAGTTCAATTGCTTCATCAACGTTGGCTACGGGAACGATAGGCAACACTGGTCCAAATATCTAAGCAATATAAGAGTACCAACTATTTATTTGCTACTGCCGATCGCGAGCGACCAAAGAAATAACAAAAATCGTCACTACTGTCACCTCTTCTTGCATAATAGCGTCTTCCGGTTTTACGTCAGTGACAACGGTGGGAGATATAAACTTGTCATTCTCATCAACTTCTCCACCAACTGCAACCTTGTTTTCATCAATTAAACCAGCAACTCTCCTGTTACCAGCATCATAAAATAGCATTAACTTATTAGCATATCTTATTCGGACGTATCCAATGAGTTACACGTTGTATTGATCATGATACGTTTGCAGGATTAAATTTATTACTCCAGTGTGCACTTTCTCACTTTCTTTATTCAAAGTGTTACTGAAATGCAATATCATTTTACTTACTTTAGGTGTCTGAGGCTGATCATACGGCAAAAATCTGCTGATTTCTTTGGATCCTGTCATCCAACATGATAATTAAATATGGAAATTAATTGCAACTAAAGATGGTTATTGAATTCTTTACGTCACTGCTATATCATATTGCAATGGAAATGATAGATAATAGCCATACTTCTCCGTAAAATTTTTCAATTGATCGTTTTAGTTCTTGCACCAACTTCGGCTGAACGGCTTTAGTACACAACACATAATCAGGGGCAATGCATGTCTACAAAGTTAAATGTCAATACTGTATTAATATTAAGTCAAATCATTGGATCACTTCAATGGTTGACATTTTGTACCTGACCAGAATTGATGTATTTACCCCAGGCAATACGCTGAGCGGCAACATCAATATTGCAGTTATCATCAACAATGCAGGGACTAGTTAAACAAGATCAATGCTTAAGAATAAATTCAGCAGATAAATGAAAAAATATTAAAATTATATTCAAAACACCAAAGTCGGTATTTGAATATGTACAACACAGAATATCAAAATTATGATTAATGACTAACCTCTTTCCACCCAATTCTAAAATGACAGGAGTCAGATGTTTCGAAGCCGCTTCCATTACAATCTTACCAACAGCGCTGCCACCAGTATAGAAGATATGATCGAAACGTTGTTCAAGAGTAGCTTTTGAAACATCCAGACCACCGTATATGACCGGATAGCAATCCTATAAGAAAGGGATATAGGAAAATATATATTATACTACGGCTTTGAAAATGTATCATGTTATTGTCATAATAGAATGAAATTTGGTGATAAAATCATTGGATAGGAATAGAGTTTATAATTACATTATCTAAATACTTGGGTATCAGCTCCGCTACGATCGATGCGGTATTTGGCGATATTTCAGAAGGTTTCATAATAACACAATTACCTAAAGGTCGATTGATTCAAGCCATGGGAATAGTCTAATTAGGCTACAGCAATCTTAATGGTCCTACTTGAGCCGTAATGTAATTTTCGAAACAAAATGCTAACCTGCAGCGATAGCTCCTACAACTGGAGATAAAAGAAGTTGAAATGGATAATTCCAAGCACCCATTACCAATACAGTGCCAAGTGGCTCAGGTCTTATCATGCATTCATCAAACTGATGAAGGAAAGGCTTCTTGACGCGTTCAGGTTTGGACCATTGAGGTAGTTCCTGTATAGCAGCGATGAGCTCATTGCGTAGGAAAGCTACTTCCGACACTAAAGCTTCTTCGTATGGCTATAATCAAGGATACATTTGGTAAGTAATGTGGCTGCAAATGCTTCATAATTTATGATTGCTATAAATGAAAAAGTATAACACCATTACAGCCTACTTTAAAAGATAAATACTAGATGGAAATATTCAGGTTTTAGTTTGGTGTTATCTAGACATTATTGGTTCATTCTAGATTTGTTATATACTGTAAAGTACTATTGATGAACTTCTCGTCTGGACTACATATATCGCTAAATCAGTCACTTGAATTGTACTGCACATGCATATGTTACACATACAAGGTATAATGTGTGATTCTAGGTGTAAAATACGTTATACCACATATAATCTTATATTGATATCTTGCTATACAATGACCATCGTTGCTATTAATTAGCTTTATGTATGCTCTTACTTTGTGTAAATCCTTGAAAATTGCGTCGCAGATTTCTTTTTCATGATCGCGAGTAAGCTTCAGCAATGCTCGTAGTTGCTGTTGACGGAAGTCAACACTTTGGGTTTTGCCAGATCGGAACGCCGTGCGTGCATTTTGGACAATCTAGTTGTATATCGATAATATAATAATGATCATTACGGAGGAAAAAAGACACGAAAGTAGTTGTATTGGTAAGGATATCTTTGGTGTATGGAAACTGTTTTAGTCATCCCTCTATTATCGGATTTGGCACAAAACACGACAGTACTGTATATGGTTATCTGCCTTATTTTGAACGTATTGTACAATATAAAGTATATGACGTATGTGTAGATCCTAGCGAGAAAGCAAGTTTGAGCAAATCAGTATTATGCTGTTTTTAAAAGATCTTTATTCTACTCTATACTAGACAGTAGAGATTGGCAAGATGTAAGAAGAGAAGGATAGTCTATGCAGAATACAGGATCTTCAACGTACTGCAAAAGAGAATACTGACATTTAATGCAGCATTACGTATCTCAGCTGAATAATTTTGCAATTTCAACTGGCTTCATCTCTTAAAATAGAATGCCGTAGTGACATTGTCGTTGCATGTATTCCTCAGATAGCAACCCATTTACAGTCCATTCAAACCTTTGACTCGATCAACATCATTTCTTCTCGCTATGATGCTTGATATACACTACTGCACTCACTGAGTCTACTGTCTGCAATCGTTTGTCGCAAGTTCAAGACTAAATGATCTATATTGATCCTACCACTGTATGCATTTTAGCAACCCATTTACAGTCCATTTAAACCTTTGACTCGATCAACATCATTTCTTCTCGCCATGATGCTTGATATACTACTGCACTCACTGAGTCTACTGTCTGCAATCGTTTGTCGCAGGTTCAAGACTAAACGATCCATATTGATCCTACCACTATATGCATTTTAGCAACCCATTTACAGTCCATTCAAACCTTTGACTCGATCAACATCATTTCTTCTCGCCATGATGCTTGATATACACTACTGCACTCACTGAGTCTACTGTCTGCAATCGTTTGTCGCAGGTTCAAGACTAAATGATCCATATTGATCCTACCACTGTATGCATTTTAGCAACCCATTTACAGTCCATTTAAACCTTTGACTCGATCAACATCATTTCTTCTCGCCATGATGCTTGATATACACTACTGCACTCACTGAGTCTACTGTCTGCAATCGTTTGTCGCAGGTTCAAGACTAAATGATCCATATTGATCCTACCACTGTATGCATTTTAGCAACCCATTTACAGTCCATTTAAACCTTTGACTCGATCAACATCATTTCTTCTCGCCATGATGCTTGATATACACTACTGCACTCACTGAGTCTAATGTCTGCAATCGTTTGTCGCAAGTTCAAGACTAAATGATCCATATTGATCCTATCACTGTATGCATTTTTCTATATGGATATAGCATACAAGTTATTTTCTAAACTCTCAGCCTATCTTAGCATGTTACATACCTTTTCAACTTGTTTTACGTCTGTCATAGCCATGATTGTAGAGTAGAACTGCGAATTTTGCACCTATGCTATCCAGTTGTTTTGAAGTTTTTAGATCTCTAATTTGGAGGGGAGGACTGTTGCAATGCGACTGCGTAGTATACCAGCTGCACACTCAGTTGCAGTACCGGTGGGAGGGTCTCTCGAGGGTCTTCCAGGTCTAATACTGGACCAGAGAAAGGACGGTTCGGTTCGGTACGGTACGTATCGGTTCAGTTGACGACTTTTTGCTGACTAATACTGTCCAGTTCACATTGACCTTACTACCGCTTCTGTGGGGTGGTTGGATACTGTACTGTCCTTATTAACGAAGCATGATGTCATCGATGCTCTTTAGGATTTCAACTGAGCCAGTGCCGCAAGGATGAGATAGCCATGTTGTCATTGAGATCCTATTTGCAATACGGAATAGGACGAGTTTTTAGGGGCCCATACGTCTCATTTGCTATACGGTGTCCTAAATTGAAGTTGGAATTCTAGGGAAATAACGAAGGGGATCAAGAGGTCAGAGTTCAAATCCGATAGCAAATGGTGTGCAAATTAAATGTCACGGCTGCATGGAATGCCTATAGTAATCAACCTTGGATATTATTTCTACTCTAGGTCGTCCTATTACAGTACAGTAGAAAGCGAAATGGCTAGCCAATCATCAGTGGATCATCACAACATCACGTGATGGTAGGAAATCCATTCTAAGCGTAACTGTAGTGGAAAACGGAGACGCTAGGAGTCACAAGGACGATCGACCTTCCCAGTGCAAATATCATGTCATAGGCATTCCTTAGTCAACCAACTGAAACCAGAAATGGAGTAAAAAGATGGCTATTTTATTTCTTTTTCGATTTATTGATTGACTTCCATGTTGCTAACAGACGTAGCTTTGATGCATATCCATAGACTGTACAGCAGTAAAGTGCATTGCTTGAAAAGAATAGAAATCAATAGCAAGGATTAGACGTACCATATTCGCACTATTCTGATATTGAGGCAACGAGTCGGAGTTTGTTGTGTTTAGGTATTGATGTTGCTTATGTTGCTTCATTGACCGAGCAAAGTGTACAATAGTCTCCGCCATTTTATAATTATATTTTACTCCCTATAATTACTATACTAACATTAGCCAAGTCTATGATTCAGATATATGACAAAGGTATAGCGATATTTGTAAAAACAGTAGAGAATACCAGTGTAGAGTAGAAAGCCAAATCCATTCCGCCATTCCTATTGCTAGAAGTTGATAGTATGTATAAGAAAAACTACGGTATTACTATGACGGCGATAGGACGACAATTCTCAAAACAGCATGCAAGGACTATGATACTGCTAGGGTTATTGTGTGAATTATCCTTACAATATTCCCAATATTCTAGTAATGAGACCACGAGTCTGACAATTCTCAAAACAGCATGCAAAGACTATGGTACTGCTAAGGTTATTGTGTGAATTATCCTTACAATATTCCCAATATTCTAGTAGTGAGACCACGAGTCTGACAATTCTGCAAAGTGTACAATAGTCTTCACCATTTTGTAATTCTATCTTACTACCTATAGTGCATATGGATATTTGCAACATGTGATGTGACTGTATTACAGTAGAGTAGAAAGCCAAATCCATTCCGCCATTCCTATTTCTATAAGTTGATAGTATGTATAAGAAAAACTACGGTATTACAATGACAGCGATAGGACGACAATTTCCAAAACAGCATGCAAGGACTATGATACTGCTAGGGTTATTGTGTGAATTATCCTTATAATATTCCCAATATTCTAGTAATGAGACCACGAGTCTGACAATTCTCAAAACAGCATGCAAAGACTATGGTACTGCTAAGATTATTGTATGAATTATCCTTACAATATTCCCAATATTCTAGTAATGAAACCACGAGTCTGACAATTCTCAAAATAGCATGCAAAGACTATGGTACTGCTGCAGTTAGGTTGAGGATTTACGAAGGAACTTGAGAAAGTGGAAGTGAATTGCTTGAAATGAATACAAATTAAAGGAACTGGAATGACTGAGCAAAATCAAATATGGAACATCACTATTGTACCATATCCTAGTGGATATGGATATTTGCAACATGTGATGTGACTGTATTACAGCAGATAATTAGAATACAAGGGTAGAGTAGAAAGCCAAATCCATTCCGTCGTTCCTATTTCGATAAGTTGATAGCATGTACAAGAAAAGCTACGGTGTTACAATGACGGCGATGTGAAATAAAACAGAAAACAAAACTTCAAAACAGAATACAAGGACTTTGCTACTGTTGAAGTCAGGTTGCGGATTTGCGGAGGAACTTGAAAGTGGCAGTGAATTGCTTGAAATGAATAGAAATAAATAGCAATAATTGTACAGAGAATATTACCGATATTCTGGTAATGAGACAATGAATGTGTTGTGCAAAGTTATTGAATTACCTTATTTTAGTTCGTTGACTGAGCAAAGTGTACTATTATGATCAATCCATGCAACAGCTACGCGCCATAATCCAACTGTAATGACTAAGCTAGATCGGATATAACGATGAACTACTATACCATATCCTGGTTCGCGTGGATATTTGCAACATGTGATCTTATTACAGTCGATAATACAAGTGTAGAGTAGTAAGCCAGATCCATTCCATGGAATGTGTTATTCTACAAGTTTATACTACGTACAAGATGAGCTACAATATTAAGATGAGGACGGTGTGATGACAATTCTCAAAATAGCATGCAAAGATTATACTATTACTGGAGCTAGGTTGAGGATTTGGGAAAAAGCTCTATTAGCAGAGTATTGATGCTGATAGTTATTCAGACAGAGTGGCACAGAATCAATTTGTAATAATAAAGTACGTCAGTGACTGAATATTATGTTAGTCTTACAAAAATAGAGTAAATTCAACAACGAAAGTACCAAAAAACGTACCCTAACGTTAGTTATATAGACATTACAATTCGGTATTGTTTTTATTATCATAATTTAACGTAAATTGTCCTAGACAAACCAGTTACTTTGCAACATCCTTTAGACACGATAGTAACATGCTATAACTACAATTTATTTTACAATGTTCGAGGTATCACTGGTATAATGACCTACAAAGATGAGTAATATCATGCCAGAAAAGAGAACTTCCTACAGCTAATAATTATAGTCATAGAAACAATAGTAAAGCTTTTATTGAAATACGATGTACACATACGAAAAGGAAATTGTTATTTAATTGCAAATCGAAGATTGAACTGTACTTGTAAATGTAACTTTATGCCAAGATGCCAACTATAAAACTCGTCGTTCTATATAATGTAGGCTTAAGTTAGCATAGGTGGAGTTTATTAAAAGAGATGTCAACTTTCTTGATGAGGTTTAGTACGGACAGTTAAATTTTAAATGGAATTTGGTCAATTTACAGACAACATTAGCGAAACTTTCGAAGGCTATACCATGCGTTGAAAATCAAATACAAACGATTAGAACAAGACGTTGTTTATAAATAATGTCTTTATTGAAGGCGATAAATGGAGAGTTTAACAGTAGAGTAAATATGCAATGCTGAAATTACCTACAATGGACAAAATTGATGGCTTGATCGACAGTCGCAATATTGACAATCGGCAGTACTGGGCCAAATATCTTTGTAAATATACACAGCAATGGACAGTATTAATGCTGGCGTTAGATTGAAAGTATTCTATATCTTTTAGCATCAGTAGATAATAGTGTTACCTCTTCTTGCATTATAGGATCATTTGGTTCCGTGCCGGTTAGGACGGTTAGAGAAATAAACTTATCTTCTCTATCAATCTCTCCTTCAACGGCAACTTTCTTTTTATCAATTAAACGAGCGACTCTTCTACACAGGTTAAAATGACATCTTTAAAACTCATATTGACGCATTACATCATTCGGAAAAAGGTTTATAGTTTATTATATACAATCTATTTTTTCCATTATGTACAGAATGGATAAACGGAATAAGATAGTTGATGAAATGATTGTCTAATTATTATATGGAATGATATTAATTAACAATCAAGTAATTCTTGAATGAAATAAGAAATGCATACCTTCTGCAAGTCCTCAAAAATTGACTCGCAAATTTCTTTTTCATGATCTTGTGTAAACTTCAGTAAAGTTCTTAGCTGCTTCTGCCGAAATTGAATGTTTCGGGTCTTACCAGAGTAGAAGGCCATACGTGCATTATCAACTATCTATTTATGACAAGAAAAATGGAAAATTTACAATACAGTGCTTGGTAAAAGTTCCATCGGCATTTTCTACAGTATATAAGCTTGGTCTAAATTGCTTTACTACCTCTACAGTGAGACTCGTTGTAGTGCTACATGAGAATATATTGCCTTGTTTATTTTTTCGATTTTGAAGGATACAGTGATGTCAATTGAATTGTCCAATTCGATAGTTTGATAAGAGGAAAAAAATGTCGGAAAAATTTACAATATAGTGCTTGATAAAAATTCCATCGGCATTTTCTACAGGATATGGGTTTAGCCTAAATTGCTTTACTACCTCTACAGCGAGACTCGTTGTAGTGCTACATGAGAATATATTGCCTTGTTTATTTATTTTTTCGATTTTGAAGGATGCAGTGATGCCAATTGAATTGTCGAATTTGATAGTTTGATAAGAGCAAAAAAAAAATGTCAGAATTTCGCCATTATTCAGCATTAGCTGCTCTGAGTATAGGGTGAGTTATTTTCAGCTGGAACAGAAATGCACACAATGATTGTATTCGTTTGTTATTTTGCATAGGGATAGAGTTGTTTAGTTTTGTAGCAAAAAGATTACTAGTGGCTAGCATATCGAACGGTGGCCATCTGTAAATTCATAGGCATCGGGCTACATTAATCCATGCTGAATTGCTCATGGTATAATGTTATAGGATAGCAAATGGACATGGTTTAAGAATCATCAGAATTGGAGGCTATAGCTTTTTCATGGTCATAATTGAATGAGAAGCTTAATCTGAATGTTGTCAATTTATAATATTGGGTTACTTTCTTCATTTGTCAATTTATTGTTTTTTTATTGGAAACAGGCAGCATTTGTAATTTATAAATAGTTTCTATATTTCTTTATAAAGGGAACGCTATTAGATTTTGTTCCAGCCGATTCTATAGTACTGTAGTGTCTAATTATCATGGATAGCAACCTGGCTAACTCGATCTATTGCAGTTTTAGCCATGGCAATGAAAGAGTAAGCAATGGTTGTTAACATAGTTTCTTGACGATTGAATTGTTAATCAGTAGTAGAAAGAGCAGGTAGTAATATGTCTTTCTACTTATAGACTAAGATGAGAGAAAGCTGTTCTGAGAAGAGAACTTTATTACTCTAAGCCCGTTAGGTACAAGGTAGAGAGAAAGAGATACTGCTACATGTAATTTGTTTCCGACAGTATGCTATGGTACATTTGATGTTTTCAAGATTGCTTTTGACAACCATAGTGGCAGCTGGCCACTAAATCATACACCCATTCCACTCACAGATTTTGATTACCTTGTAGACTTTGTACATCTTTGATACTTGTCAACTACGTCTTATTACATGGCTCTACAGAGTCATGTTTTATCCAGTTTGTATGAGAATTGAGTATTGGTAAGTTCGTTGTAGCCAAAGTGTAAGGCAAGAGAATTACCCTGTAGGCAAAGCCATGATCAGGGTTGAAGAAATTGGATTTTTAAAAATTATTTCTAATGCATTATTTTGTGTGTAAGCTGAAGTAGATTGGAATCAATAATTCATCTACATACGATACCCCCTCGTTGTTCATGGATGATTGTGGTATCTTGTACAGCATTATCGTTTTCTTCAAGGATTGAAAAACGTCAGTGTCCATTCCAATTCCTACAATACCATGACCGACCATGCGATTTATTTTGTCAAGGCTATAGCAGTAGGACTGCCAATTTCGACACCATCATGGACAGCGTTAAAAAATACTTGGAATGATGGATAGGTTTCATTTTGATAAGTTTACCACTTGAAAAAGTGAAATCGGACATGATTGGCTATTTTGGTGTGGTATAACGATTTATATCGTAGTTATCAATGGATGGAGGGCGTGTAGCAATGGGCCCTGGAAAGGCAGTCTATGGAGTCCATGTACAGTATAGTCTGAAGAAGAAGAAGAGAATGATTTTTCTACTTGATTTTTAGGGTTGGCCAAGAACTAATAGCCGTCAAGTAGGCTATTGAACAAAACTACACGAATATACGTTATGAATTTGAATAGTGGTTACTAGGCGTAGTTTGCACGCGATCGCTGGTTGGTCAGCACGATGTGGTCATTGAATGCAACTACTTTTGGGCTATTTTATTGCGTCATTGATGCCTGTAGCACAGTATCCTAGCGTCGATTAAGATCAGTCAGTGTAGTATTTCCCTTGCACATTAGGCTAGCTCCATTTTAGGATGTGATTAGCAATGCATTGGAAGTATTTCAACATTAGGCTAGCTCCATTTTAGGATGTGATTAGCGATGCATTGGAAGTATTTCAACATTAGGCTAGCTCCATTTTAGGATGCGATTAGCGATGCTTCGGAAGCATTTCAACACTAGGCTAGCTCCATTCTAGGATGTGATTAGCGATGCTTCCGAAGTGTTTCAACATTAGGCTAGCTCCATTTTAGGATGTGATTAGCGATGCTTCCGAAGTGTTTCAACATTAGGCTAGCTCCATTTTAGGATGTGATTAGCAATGCATCGGAAGTATTTCAACATTAGGCTAGCTTCATTTTAGGATGCGATTAGCGATGCATTGGAAGTATTTGAACATTAGGCTAGCTCTATTTTCGAATGTGATTAGCGATGCTTCGGAAGTATTTGAACATAAGGCTAGCTCCATTTTAGGATGCGATTAGCGATGGATTGGAAGTATTTTAGGATGCGATTAGCGATGCATTGGAAGTATTTTAGGATGCGATTAGCGATGCTTCGGAAGTATTTGAACATTAGGCTAGCTCTATTTTCGAATGTGACTAGTGCAAACTCCCGTCGCTTTGCTGACGGTTTACGATAATGTGCTCATTTAACAGATAGTATTACCATTTGATAGACCTGTCAGAAAGTATTTTAGGATGCGATTAGCGATGCTTCGGAAGTATTTGAACATTAGGCTAGCTCCATTTTAGGATGTGATTAGCGATGCATTGGAAGTATTTTAGGATGCGATTAGCGATGCTTCGGAAGTATTTGAACATTAGGCTAGCTCCATTTTAGAATGCGATTAAGGGCATTTTAGGGCAGAATTGGCCCTTTCGTTGAGCAAAATACAGCACTAGATTAGCACAGAAAACAACAGACACACAGACTGGGGATTCTATTCAATTTTAGAATGCGATTAGCGATGCATTGGAAGTAGTTCAACATACAGCTAACTCCATTTTAGAATCGTTAGAATCCTTCGGGCAGAATTGGCTCTTTGGTTGAGCCAAATACTGCACTAGACTAGCGCAGCGAAACAACAGACATACAGACCGCAGGACACGTTCTTTTCTAGGTACAAGCTCGCGAGTCGTCTGTCGCAAAAGTGATGTCACCTTCTGGGTGTTCATTGGGAGATATACTACTAGTATGGTCATGGTGACTTTAATTTTGCTTGAAATAGCATAGTATAGCGTTGATTTTCAAGGGATCATAATCACTACTCTTGTCATGATGCCATTAGTAGTATACGGACTGAAAGTATGTTACAGCGGGATCGCGGTATACGACATGAGTTTTGGCATGGAAAGGCATCCCAATGGTTGTGGCCTTACGGCCATGGCAACGACCAGGAGGCAATCAAGAAGGTTTAAGAAGTTTGCTCTTTTAGCTTGGCCATTAAAATGATGGATTATCAACAGCTGTTTGAGTTCTAACCCCCATCAACCACTGCCAATACACATATTGCCCATTGCAGTCTCCAGGGAGTGGCCATTGCAGTTGCTTTCACGACATGGGCTGATTGACTGGTGATGGCAAGCATCCTTGCCATCATCCCATACACTCTCATGATGCTAATACAACTGTACGATACACACTACTCGTGGAAGAGCATGACTTGGGCATCTTCTTGCCCGTCCATCTCCTTCAGTGGTGAACATCCATTTTGTTAGCAGTGGTTGCATCAACATCGCTAAGGTTAATCGTCGTTTTCTAGCGCTCATTTGCTGTTGGCAATCGCCTTGAATGTTTCAATCGTTGATTCAGTAAGGGATCATCCTTGTCGATTGGGTTGATTGATGATTGAAAAGGCTACAGTAGTCAAATAGATGGAAGAGTTGACACTTGCAATCGCTCCATTAATCCAAGTCTCTTTTTCTCCTTTTTGCAGGTGTTGAAAGTCAGCTGGGATTGGATTCTTTTCCAACTTGATTATTCCATTAAATCGTCCTTTTCTTGCACAATTGATCATCGATTGTGTCCATCGATCGTTATTGGTAATAAGGTTAGTGTTGATATGATTCAAAATGATTGAAAGAAGGACATGAAGCAACATGGACAGCGATCCAAGTATGGACAAGTTGTTGTTGTTGTTTTGGACTCTGTTTGTTGGCCAATGTCGATCTTTCTTTTTCTACTCCAATGGAGTCAGATACTATTTTTAACAGTCGTAGACAGCATAAGCGATGGATGATTCTCATCATCTTATAAGTGACATTCGTGTTGATCCTTTTCCACTATCGATGAGAATCGATCGATAGTAGCCAGTGGATGATAGTCTATCGTCGACAACAGTACAAAAGACGTACATCAAAAAATCTTGTCCAATCGTCCCATCTTCAAGGTAAAACCATTTCAATCTAGTAATAGACCCATGATGATGGATTTGCTTCTTGGATGGATGGTAGATCTATCCATCACTTTGATGACATGAGTAAATGGACAACATGCAAGCTAGAGTCGATGTTCGTATCGAGTACGATGATGGATAGCGAAAATAGTTTGTAGTAGTAGCCGCCATTAAAATACAGATACTGTAGAATGGGGGGCAAAAAAAAAAAAATCCTCCCCCCCCCAAAAAAATCATCATCGCTATTAGACTTATTTCAGTATTGGGCCAATGGATCCACTCTTCAATATTATCATCGTATATTGCTCTTCGCCAAGAGCAATGTCATCCTATCGTCATTGACTATTTTCTTTTTGAACGCCATCATTCCATGCCAGTGGAAAAAGCGTCGGCTTGATCTTCTTGCTCAAGTTGTAGACGATAACGCCGCCATTTTTTACCCATTTAACTTGCAAGTCATGCAAACATGCCTTAAGCGATGAACCATCGTATTCAACAAGCTTGTTGATTGTCATGATGGCATTTCTACAACACTATTTTTGGATACCGTTGAAAGTGGATGACTGTCTGTGTGTGGATAGCATGGAAGAAAGAACGCCAGAGGACGACAACATGTTTAGTCAAGATAGTTTGTTGATCAACATCGACAACAGTTGGATCATCATCGTCGACCGATCTTGTAGGTTGTGTAAAAAATGGAGTACAACCTGGGCGATGGGAGAACCCTTTCAATGTGTATTTTGCGGGCTCTTATTCAAACTTGTTCCTTGCCATCGTTTCCACGCATTTTATCAACGATCTATCAAGCCTAATGGCAATGGAGGATTAGACTAATGTGGACTTGTTATTTTATCCTTTTAGGCATTCCATTGATTTTAGCAAAGTCAAGACCAAATCGAAAAGTCCATTGCAACACAATCGATATTGTTCAGCACCAACTGAATTCCACTAGTGATAGCCTGCAATCACTGCAAGTCAAGAAAAAAAATAAATTGGACTTTGTCAACTTTGCCAAACTGTATTGTTGAACTCAACTGTTAATACATTAAAAAATACAGTTGCCAATTGCAAAAAGAAGAAGAAACAATACAGTAACTGCTTAATTCATCTACTATGACAGAATACAAGTTGGTCGTTGTTGGAGGTAATGTGGCATTTCTTTGCTCCATTTTATCATCCATTTTCTCTCCCTACTTTCCAAGCCCATTTCACTTTTTTTCAATTCTTTTTTTCTTGCCACATAGTAGCTCTTTTGCCCAATATTATCACGCATTCTAGTGTGTTTTAGTCTATCTACAATCATAGCACCCTTTTTTTTTTTTCCAACTGATGCAAACTATCAGGTAGTGATATCTTGATTCCTTCTCCATGGATGTACGATCGTTATCCAAAATGTCTATCGTGAGTTGTTGAGTTATTGGGCCAAGATGAAAATCGACGTTTAGTAATGGGAATGGGATGATAGTTGAGGATGTGGTACCTCTTTTGCCTAATATTATCACGCATCAAAGTCTATATTTGTCGATCTACAATCATAGCACAGTTTTTTTTCCCCCAATGGATGTAAACCATGAGGTGTTTTTGATTCCTTCTCCATGGATGTACGATCGTTATTCAAAAAGTCCATCGTGAGTTGTTAAACTATTGGGCCAACGACGTTTAGCAATGGAAGAAGATGATGGATGTGGCCCCTCTTTTGCCTAATATTATTACGCATCAAAGTCTGTTTTAGTCGATCTACAATCATAGCACAGTTTTCTCCCTCAATGGATGTAAACCATGAGGTATTCTTGATTCCTTCTCCATGGATGTACGATATCGTTTTGTAAAATTTCCATAGTAAAGTTGTTGAGATAGTGGGCCAAGATAAATCTCGACGTTTAGCCATGGAATAGCATTTTGCTGGAGTAGGATACTAGTCGCAATGAGTAGTAAAATAAAGTTGTCTTTTCCCTATACCTACTCAAATGAAGAACGAATTTGATTTTTTGCCCATCATCGGAAAGAGTTGAAAGGAATGACTATCGCGTAGCCTACACTTGTTAGAAATGGATTCATACAAGTGATTATTGCCTCAATTTTACTCAACCTTCATCAAGATGGCTAGGATAATCTGGCCAGGAGGACAGTTTATCGGAAAGAAACATGACCGAGCTAAGCTAGAATTTTATACTCGAGATAGTTGAATATTGAATGGCTTCCTCTATTTTTGTAGATGAAAGATACAATAGCTCAACAACGTCTAAATCTTTCTGCTTACAGCTCAAATCTGTTAATAAATCATCATCATCATTTGAAATGCCTCCATTGAACGGAGAACTATTACCTGACAGCAGACTTGATCATTCGACCCAATTTGGATACTGTAGTGAGCAGAAATCATGGCCTTTTTTGGCTGTCCATGAACTAGCGATGGTGTGGAAAGTTTGCTTTTCAACGTAATATAAAAGTACAAGCAGAAATCGTCTTTTTAGCTTGATTGCCGAAAGGTTGCTTTTAAACGTAGTACAAGTGCAAATGCGATTGGTGTTTTAGTGACGACGAAAGGGGTTGGAATAGTCGATCGTTCAAATTTGTCTACACTACGGTAAAGGCTGCAGTTCAAATAGACTTGCAAAGTAATATTGTCCATTTTACAAGTATATTTTATCATTGAAAGGGAATATTCTCCTAGCTAGAATTTCTCCTCCACCATCGATGTATCGACTTGAGCCTATTATTCCCTACCAGCATTTCTTAACCTCAAGGAAAGACGAAAAACAATCAATCATCGTGAATGGAATAGCACTAGTCTTATACAGTTGGACTATTCCTTTTTGAGCCTATTCTTCCCTACGAGTATTTCTTATCCTCAAGGAAAGACGATGATTGCTTGAAAAACTCTCTTCTTAACTTCAAGGAATAGCACTAGTCTTGTAAACTTGGACTAGTTTTAGACTATTTCTACTGGAGGCTATTCTTCCCTACGAGTATTTCTTATCCTCAAGGAAAGACGATGATTGCTTGAAAAACTCTCTTCTTAACTTCAAGGAATAGCACTAGTCTTGTAAACTTGGACTAGTTTTAGACTATTTCTACTGGAGACTATTCTTCCCTAAAACTGCTCATGTTGCTAACTTACTATGCGTGTTATTGTAACTTTTCATCTCGCTAAGGTAAATAATTAATTACTGCTATCAGACCCTTTATATTGGCTGGGTTGTTGGAAATTTGCAAAACATTGTATTAAGCATGCAATCCAACATAGGCAAAAGAATAATATGAATTGGATTGGGCTATCGTAGTATTCAGTCAACATTAGCACAGTCGTTAAATAGGATTGGGGATTATATCCACTATGGATGATTCAATAAAGTTCTTGTAGAATAAAGTAGACACAAGGTACAAATCGACATTGGCAATAGTCCAACTCCCTTCTACTCTATTAATATATGGCATTCGAATGGCGGAGATTATTCACAGTCTATAAAATAAGGATAACGATCTCCTCTTTTCCTTGTAAAATGGAAATTTCAATCAAGACCATTTGTACTTAATTTTTGGGATACTTTTTAGATAATTAATTTGTACTGGCGATGAGGAGACTGTTAATGCTACGTTACTAGTCAACATCAATCTAGGTAGAGTGGTGGAGTTTCTTTTTTTCCCCCCTTATTTCTAGTTCATTTTCTAGCATGTGGAAACACTATCGGTTGGATAGCGTTGGCTAGGATACTTCTAGATTGATAATTTAATGCTTAAGAAATCGTTCTTGTCGTTGTATTATTTTATAACCTATTGCTCATCATCAATTTCTCTTTTTTTTTTTTCCACCTGTCATCGATTGGATTATGCTATTGGCGTTAAATCATTGGTGTCCATATGGTGGATTGCTATTACTTTATGCTTATGACGACCATCTAGCTGGTGGCGTTGGCAAGAGCGCATTAACGATTCAGCTAATACAAAATCAGTGAGTTGAAATTAAACTTAAACCTTTAAGCAATTCATGTTGTAGTCTTGATTTGACGATAGATATCCTACTGATGGATTACTAAAAAAAATCGATCCAAAAGGATGGATAGCTATCTTTATGCTATGGCTTTTTATTCGTATATTCATTGCTTAAATCAACTGTAATATGCTGCTTGAATAGCTTTACAAGATCATGCTATTACTTCATTTTTGCCAACGATTTGCTAGCGCTGTATATTGCTAGACGATCTATTGACGATAGTGATGAAATTGGAAAGTGAACAAGATAGACATGATATTTTATGACTGGATGACTATGGCTAATGTATCATCTATACCAAGGGGATGAATAAGACATCATTTAATGATCGTCGCACTCTATTTTCAAGTCCATTACAAGACGATAGGGATGATATTACTCTACTTTACAGCATTATAACTATTCTTTTCGATTTCAACTCGATCAAGAAGATGATCTATTTTTGATTATCGCTATGTCTATTGAGCTTTCTATTACAAGATGGTGATTTCACCCCATGACTCTACACTATCCTTCTATTTATTTTTTTCTATCCAATACATTAATATAATAGTATATCCATCGATGATCTTTGATTCATTTTGAAATCCATGCTCTACTTTTCATCTACCAAGAAGATTAATATCATAGTATATCCATCGATGATCTTTGATCCATTTTAAAATCCATGATTAGACGATAATCATACTCTACTTTTTATCCTGGCGTCTTTTTTATCTACTAAGAAGATTGATATAATGGTTAGACGATAACCATACTCTACTTTTGATCTACCAAGAAGATTAATATTATAGTATATCCATCGATGATCTTTGATTCATTTTGAAATCCATGCTCTACTTTTCATCTACCAAGAAGATTAATATAATAGTAAATCCATCGATGATCTTTGATCCATTTCAAAATCCATGATTAGACGATAAACATACTCTACTTTTGATCTACCAAGAAGATTGATATAATAGTATATCCATCGATGATCTTTGATCCATTTTGAAATCCATGCTCTACTTTTGATCTACCAAGAAGATTAATATCATACTATATCAATCGATGATAAGACGATAACCATACTCTACTTTTTATCCTGGCGTCTTTTTTATCTACCTAAAAGATGAGAAGCATACATCACTAGATCATCATCTCTTCCTCTTGATCTATTTGAAAGTTAATTACAGGACAATCAGGATAATATTACTCTACTTTTACTATTACTATGGGGTGATTTCTGCCTAGTGAATAAATGAATACAGAAGTAGAATATTCTTGACTAGACGATAACGTTACTCTATTTTTTATCCTTGCATCTTTTTTTTCTACCAACAAACTGAGAATCGTACATCGCTAGATCATCATCCATCTACAATCTTGATCTATTGGAAAGTTAGTTACAAGACAATGAGGATAATATTACTCGACTTGAACTATTACTAAGTAGACTATTTTTTTTATAATCATGGTCCATCGATCTCACGACTCATTTTATCGATATCTTTTCAATGCTATCATGAAGAGAGATTCGAGCAATCCTATCGTCTAGAATGACTATTTTCATTAATCTCTAAATCCTATGATGAATAGAGTTTATTTATGTCCTAGACAGTAGCACAATTTTATTGAAATGGATACAAAAATTGAATGGCTAGACAGCTTTATTCTTGTTGATGTTTACCTAGACTTTCAACCCTTTTATCTTCCTGTTATTGACAACTATTGCTAGGTTTCCATTTCGTCGTTGCAAAGTAGGCTTTTGTTTGTTGTTATGCTAGTATCCATACAGTGTAAAGAATTGTTCCAATTTTAGATTAAAAGTCTTGGGTTGTAAAATTACATTAAAAATTCACACCAATTTTCTGCCATCCTTATAGTGTTGGAGTTCGTAAATTTGACAATCAACTTACCAAGTTGATTGTTAAATTGTTGTAATGCTGTTTAAGTAAGGTTCCATAGTTTGGTAATAGACATGCACCGCTAAAATAGTCAAGTTTTATTATTTTGGACGTCTCCCTGAAAAGATGGCGCAATCACCTTGATGAACAGACAGTTCAAATGGATCTTAATTATATTGCTTTGGTCAAATGAAATCACATTCATAACTTGCAGTCGATACGACGCTAGTGATCTCTGTTTGTGCTATAAAAAATTGAGATCTTGCATAGCATAACGATACTGTCCATTTCTTCTACTGCATAGTAGTTCCATTCAGTCATCAATCTGGCTATGCTAATATCAAAGCTTTAATCTCTCCAGCGGTACCTTTATAAACATCCAATTATTTAAAACTTATACTATACCGGCGTAAATTGGATAGATGCGTATAAACTGATATTTGAAAACAGTGATTTCGTAAATGTCGCTAAAAACCATACTTTTATATCTTGATTATACGATCAAGATTTGTTTCTGACCAGCGTTATGCTTATGACAGAACATAGAGGAAGCGAAATGAAGTTATAGTAATAACAATAATATTATAGCCGTATAGACTCTCACGTCAAATTCGGATAGTACAAGTAGATTCTCATTTACAGTTGATTGATTTAATTAAATCAAGATTTGTTTCTTACCAGCGTTATGCTTATGACAAAACATAGAGGAAGCGAAATGAAGTTATAGTAATAGCAATAAAATATTATAGCCGTATAGACTCTCGCGTCAAATTCGGATTGTACAAGTAGATTCTTGTTTACAGTTGATCTAATTAATCCAATTAATCTTGTCGACGGCAAACCTGTCTTCGATGCAGATCGTCATCATTAATGATTGTAATAACATTTTCTTTCTTTTATCAACAGTTTTGTAGACGAATATGATCCCACTATAGGTAAGATTGCCATATATTAAGAATATTTCTATACGAGTAAATCGCCGTGTTTATGTACTTTCACCTACAATGAGATATTAGAAGACTATTTTACTTTTTCCATGAATTTCATGTTGATATTAAAATAGTCTAGTTGTGACATGACTCAGTACTTTGCGCGGCTACGTGAAAAATTGTTTTACGATATGTAACTATATCCAATAACATGACTGTACATTCGATTGCATGTTTAAGTGATCGATTGCTTTGGAGTGTTGAATAGATATCAATATTGATAAATATACGAGTAGAAGTAATCGTTGGTTGAATTAGATAATAGGATACCTTATTAAAAGTGATCTTTTTACATTTGTACAATTGACGATTTTCTAATGCTCATTTTTAAAGAGGATTCGTACCGCAAGCAAGTTGTTATTGATGGAGAGACATGTGTGTTAGATATTTTGGATACAGCTGGTCAAGAAGAATATAGGTAATGGCACAATTGAGGACTTTACCAGTTCATTTGTTTTCAGCTACGTTAATGAGTTATACTTTCAATCTTAGTAATGACACTTTTATTTATTTGTGAATACTTCGTTAAAAGATGTTCTTGATACCGATATCTCTTTAAATGAACTAAATCTATTTCTTGATTATAAAAAATTGTAGTGCAATGCGTGATCAGTATATGAGGACTGGAGAAGGATTTTTATGTGTATTTGCTTTGGATAACTTAAGATCATTTGAGGAAATAAGTCAATATCGAGAACAGGTATTTTATCATAGTTATGCTATTTTGATACTGCATGCGTTGATTAATTTTGCGTACTAACATGGGCAGCTTTGACAATGGCTGACTCATGAAATGGAATAGGATATGCTCAAATTATTTGTCATAAAGTTTACGTGCATCGATGCACAAAATGGATACAGCATATCAATTTACTACACAAAAATATGTTTTTATTTTAGATAAAGAGAGTGAAAGATGCAGAAGATGTACCGATGGTTTGTAAGTGTAACATTTGTATTATGAGAGGCATCCATGCATGTATACAATCATCTTGTCTAGTACATGTTATTGACCAATGTTATATGGATTTGCAGTGGTAGGGAATAAATGTGACTTACCTAACAGAGGAGTTGATGTAGCACATGCAACGGAAGTGGCTAAAAGTTATGGTATGCCATACATTGAGACATCTGCAAAGACAAGACAGGGAGTGGTTAGTAAAAGTCATGCCAATATGCTGTTCAGGATAGCTTACCCTACTCTAGTAAAGCTTTACGTATACTTTGAACTCACTAATCTACACCATTGAAAGAAATTATTGTTCAAATGTTGACTTAGAAGTAAATTTCCAATTCGATTTTTCAAGTGAGGATTATTTCTGCCGTTAAGCTGATCATGACTATTGTTTTTCAATTTTTAGGAGGACGCATTTTATACACTTGTCAGAGAAATTCGTCGTTATGTTAGTATTCATAGCTAGAGAATAGTTTAAGATAAAGTAATTGGTATCAATAATACTGTACAGTATAACTGATTTACAATCCATTGAGGATTGATCATCTTCTTTTCCTTCACAACATAATAGAAAGAAAAGCGTATGCCACGTGCTACAACCAAGCAGGCAAAAAAGGGCAAATGCCAGATTCTTTAAAATGGATGTATTTAATTGAAGATACTATAGTTTTGAAGTTGGTTCAATGTCGATTGCAAGCTATGATTTTCATTTACTGATGGTACTCGGGATGGAAGTATTTTTAAGCTTTATAAATCATTAACTTAATTAGCATTACTATCTCCTGGCTTTAAAAATTCATTTTTTGTTGTCTTTGGGTTAGTTACATGGTAGCAAGGTAAATGCAACTTTTATTAGGCTTATGTTATGGTTGCTGGATAGCAGTGCTCATTCATTAGTCGAGAAGGTAGCTTTTATTTCTAGAGATTTTATTCTGATCGCCATTTTTATCTTATTGGTTTGCTTTGATATTGATGAGGGTCTGCTAATATATCATAGTATACAATTTTACAAGATTAAGGAATTGTAGATTTCTAAATGATAGTATCGGAAAGTGTATTTTTAAAGACTGTAGTATGTTACTGCGTTACTATTTGTGCTAAGGGAACTGTGAAATTGTTTTCATTTGTCCACCGTTTGGACACAATACATCATCATCATTAATAATGCTGTCTACTGAGCTCAATTGGTTGCTGTTGTTGTTAAACTGTCAGTAGAATTGTCATACATTCTGCAATACGTCAAACATATATATCAGTACAAACACGTTAACATCAATGCGAACGAATTATTGTATAAATGACTTTTGGTGGATTTTATCTATCGCCAATACATAACTGTAGCTGAGCATTGATCATTTTTTTCCATTTACGATGCTAGCTAATATGGCTTTAGATTATTAAAGCATGTGCAGAATTTTCATTATTGAGTTATACACACCTATGCGTTGGATTTTACTACATGTTGTTTTTTTGATCATAACAAACTTTGATATATTACAGTATCATCCTTCAATGCTTTACATGATATCTTAAAAAAAAAAGTATACTTATCTAATTAGGTTGAAAACTTGTACGTGCCAAGATGTTTTGCCATTGGGGGAGTATTTTTATTTTAAATTGTTATGATAAATTCGCTAATCAGTTTTAACAACATGAACACCTCAAATATTGAACGTAAGATCGATCCCTTTGCAATTTTACGTTGGGTCTTGTCGTTCTAATACATTAGCTAAATATGATATACAGTATCTGAATATTTACTGAATTGTCACTTTGGTAACAGTGTACGTCTGTCTATTCATTTAATATTGACCAAAGTACAATCTATTGGTATCGTATGTTTTTGCTTCTCCTTTTATTCTTTGGATCTTTTAATTCAATTTGAAATATAATAGAATAAAATTTTTTCTTGCTAATCTGTATATTATTGATGATTGTTTAATGGACTTTGGCACTGTCATCAGTAGCTAGCAAAATTGTCAATCAATCACATTGGATGATTCTGGTGAAGATTGATATACTGTATCAGGTTAGTATTCATTTCCACTCCACGTTGGCATTGGTGAAAAGGATCTGATTTAGTCTACTGTATCAGGTTAGGATTCATTTCCACGTTGGCATTGGTGAAAATGATCTGATTTAGTCTACCATCGATAATGCAAAAATACACTACTCCACGTGTATAACATCAATGGTTTCATATTGATATTATTCAGTATAAGAGCCACATCATGATCATTGACATCATTCCTTTTTGACCATTTCTACTTGATGCAAGAACTATATTTAAAAATCCTTTCACATCATTTTAACAGCTATTAAATGATTCAATCATGGTTCCATGCTAGATCAGTATAAAAATGGATCTGCTTGAATGGTAGTTTCAGGTAGAAAGCGCTACTTAGGTTGGCATAATATCGCAGTGGTTAGGATGAAAGATAAATTATTTTTGCAATTTTATCTTGTTTGACCTCACGGAGTTTAATCCTAATTTATAATATAAGTACAATTTACATGATTGATACAGCTGCTGCTCATGAATACATTGTCCATGAAGTCTGTGATAGATGAAATTATTTTAAAATCATCACGATAGTAATACGAAGCAAAATACAACATGCAAATGGGCAAATATTGCAATTTTCGCATTTTTGATCTGGACATTTTATAACTTACAAAGCAAATACTGTTTGCACGATTGATGCAGCTGCTAATCATGAATACATCGTTCATGAAGTCTGCGATAGATGAAATTATTTTGAAATCATCACGATAGTAATACGAAGCAAAACACAACATGCAAATGGGTATATATTGCAATTTTCCCATTTTTGATCTGGACATTTTATAACTTACAAAGCAAATACTGTTTGCACGATTGATGCAGCTGCTAATCATGAATACATCGTTCATGAAGTCTGCGTTAGATGAAATTATTTTAAAATCATCACGATAGTAATACGGAGCAAAACACAACATGCAAATGGGTATATATTGCAATTTTCCCATTTTTGATCTGGACATTTTATAGCATTCAAAGCAAATACTGTTTGCATGATTAATGCAGCTGCATAGCTGCTATTTATGATTGCATTGTTTATATCTGAAGTCTGTTATACCGCCATTGTGGCTTCAATTCGTTAATTAATTATACGATAGAATACGTCTATATTACTATTTATAAGTGAAATGAACAGTGTAGCGATTTCATCCATGATCGTGTTAGCCTTTCAAATCATCATGACAGGAATATGAAGTAATAGCACTATGTGACCTAGAATAGACGGCTATGCTAGTAAAGTAATTATAGATGATGGCTGGCCTGATGAAACAGTGTACTTGCACTATTTTTACTGGCTAAAAGTAAACTTAAAACTCCTTGATTGCAAAAGAATTCTTATAAGCAATGGCTGAAGATCATCTTGACCTCAGCCCCATCCAGCCATCCAAGAATGATCTCGAAGCAGAGACCGTTTAACCCAAGTAATATTTGTCAACATACTGGTAGTGCAGCATTCTAAAGCTGAGATTATTCTATTCTTGTTAGAGATTACTGGATATATTTTACAATCATTGCGCTATGCCATTATTGCCATGGATTTCTAGGAAGAGAGCTAGGCATCCATTTCCACCAGGTGTTGCTTTCTACTAGTAGCAGAGTGTTGTGCAAAATGATATGTCGCCTTTCGATCTCGTTTTTATCTTCTTTGGCTGTCTGCTACTGTTCGTGAGGTGGTTACGAGGTGACACATTATTTCGCACACAGCTGTCTACCGCAGTACTCTATTGCGCACACTCACGCGCCAAAGTCTCCAGTTATCCTGTATGGTAGGTAAGTGTTGCATACAATAGCATAGTAATAAGACTACAGAGTTAATTAAGGCAGAGATCATTTCTAGTACGACTACTCGGTGGAGACTAGGTCTGCTCATCTCTAGCTAAGAGCAAATTTTGCGAATTAGTTTCTCCATATTTCTCTCCTAGCTGCCTCGAATTCCTTACTGGAGCTCATTGGGACTATTGGATTCTATTAAGAAGGTAAGAAAGAACTGCTCTTGTCCATTATGCATTGATAGATGACTTTTTAGATTGAATTAATCACCATATTCCAAGCTTTCGAGATCGCTTTGCAATGTCTGCTAGGCTTGATGCAGCTGGCAGATGCAAGATCTTTGAAATGGAGAATATGGAATACCTTTAGAAGATTTTATTAGTAATGGCAGCTAGTTTAGCTGCTCTCTTTGAAGTGTATTGCATCATTCGTGACTGTAGTGCAGTTATGTGTATCATTCCTTGTTCAATTTAAATTCTACCCCCTCGATAAGAAGCTGATCCATGAAGTAGCTCATGCGATGTTATTGGCTGATGAAACTTGAGTACTTCATAACTGCAAGATATGGAAGATGTCTACAAGATTTGTTCATGTTAGGCAGTGAGTTAAGCTTGTAAGGCTAATTAATGGCTGGTTACTCTTGTGTCATTTGCGTCTATAGTTCTCTGTCAATCTTTCCTTTTCACCACGACTAGCAGACTAGTTCGAGTTGTTGTATTTGCAACAAGGCTCACCAATGGGTGGTACAAGTAGTAGAAAATTGTGATGGCTAAACGTAGCAATGCAACGATCACCCATGCTTACTGCCAATAAATTACTGCTACTTACACCACCCGACGGAATTTTCAAGTTGCTACTAGAGTAGAGCTCAACAGAGATACCGTGGATATACTGTATGCAAATTCAGAAAGGATAGGTTTAAAAATGAAGTAGGAATTGCAAATTAGAGTAGCTGTAAAATGCATGCATAGGCTGCGTTAGCATTGTCTAGCATGGAGTGATTATGCTGACAATATTCTGTATGTGCTTTGCAGACTAGTTAGCTAGCTTCGTTGAGCCATACCCCTTCCTTCCCGCATCATCCATTTTTAGATCAATCGGGAGTTACTCATTACTTTGATACACTGGATGGTGCTGCACTACCTCACGATAAGGAATAATTTATAATTTAAGCGTGTACATTATAAAAAATCAATCACAACGGTGGTTTCTTCATTATGAAGAAAGTAACTTAAAGGCTAATCATCCATTAATACAAATAATTTCAGGATTACATAAACTAGTTGCTACAGGTTTCTTCCTTTAACATCAATGTAGTGCATTACAACCTTAGGATTCATTAATCAATACAACGTGAAATTTTAATAAAAATAATTTGTAATGTTATTACATAATAATTTTCGATAATTATTTTCGTTTAGATGATTGCCACATTTCGTATTGGTATTTCTGCTAGATTGGTTAGCTCAAGAATTAAATCGATACGATGCCACTGGTTAACGACGGAAGGTATAAATTAGATTGATAAAACAAGATCGATTGTAGCAGAGTTTGCCAGTACAGGGGAAAGCACGGCGATCTTATAATGTAGTAAAGTTATTGTGACTAGTAGTTTTTGCAACTGTGAATATAATTGCTTGCAATAATGGGAAAATGCTATACAGTTAATGTGAATACGATTCATGTAATCCATCAGGAAATTGAAACATTTTATACCTATGGTAATTGACTATACAATCGGCGTAGTACTAGTTACATAATTTCTCCTAATACTGCCCCGTACATTTCACGCTTAATTCTATTCAACTATTTAAAGTAAATGAATTAGGGAATTGATGCCATAAATTATTGCTACTTTGAGTAATGTATAGATAGGTTTTGGTCATAGACTCACGTATAGTTCTTTACTATAACGTTATTTTCCTCTAATATCAATCTTCCTATTTACGTGCTGAAAAAATTCTTTAAACCGTTACAGCAAAGCCATCCATCACTATTTGCGACCGGTCCTTTCTTCAAAGTGATATGACAAACATAACTCCAACCATCTCAGCCAAAGTTGGAGCGAATTTGCATTGCCAACGTTATCATCCATTAAAAGCAATCAAGGTTATTAATAAGGCTACTTATCAAAATTAGTAAAACATTAAGAAAGAATTTTCAAACTAGCGGAACCTTTTTTAACTAGTAACCTTAGTTAGTTAGTTAAAGCATTCATTTTTCTTCCACATTGGATTAATCGATAGTGTATAGAATTTAATTTACTGTCTATCAATCATTAAGTCTTACTTCAGTAAATATATGGACGGCAACCTAGCCTTTCATAATTAAATTTTTTTACGAATAGATAGTTAGTCTTATGATTTTAGTTTTATCACTGAATCTCATCTGCTTCAGTTAATACATAAGGAAAACTAACCTTCTACAGATAAATTATTGCATAGCTTAGTCATATTATTCTAATGTAACTAACTACGAAAGAAGACTGTACTGTGGTAAAAAAATATTTGCTCGTCATGGACTTATTAAGTAACTGCGACAGTTCCTTTCTTTATTATTTAGGATCATATCGAGCAATATGTTCATGCAATATACAGAAAAAGAACTGGGTCTCCTTTATTTACATGTATTGATAACTTAAGTCCAGGTAAGTTGATCAAATATGAATAACCTAAGTTGATATGGTTACTTTTTGCTCCATCATAGACTATCGATTAAGTATTACATTGTCGATTGTATAATTTTTTCTTTCAGTGGTCTCTGTTGAACAAAATTTCGATAGTTTAAGCGTGCCTCAGGATCATGTTTCACGAGCTAAGAATGACAATTATTATGTAAGATTGGTTTTACATCATACAATCCTGTTGACTGTGTGTTAGATTTTGCTATTACACGATTTTTGTACAATCTATAAAATCGTGCATAAAATGTTAAACAGTCTTCCTGCAATTTTGAATCATTTCTAGATTAATTCAGACTATTTGCTTCGAGCTCATACTTCCGCTCATGAGGTAGGTTTATAATACGTCACGCAAGATGTGACTGGATAGGAAATCTGTGCGATAGCATCATATTTAGGATAGGTTTTAGAATGCTTAGAAATAAAATTTGTGCCCTTCCGTAACGTTTTAAACAATGGTTTAATAGCGTGATCTTGTACGTGCCGGATTAGACGCTTTCTTGTGTACTGGAGATTGCTATAGGAGAGGTCAGCTATTAATACTGTAGGATTATGAATATTAATTAATAAGTTGAAGTTAGTGTCACTGGCTAATAACTTATTATACCTGCAGATGAGATTGATGCAAAACATTACCCTGTGTTTCATCAAATGGAAGGAGTTCGATTATTTGATAAACAAGATGTAAGTATCGTACAAGTATTCCTAAATGCACGCTTGTATATCATTCGATAATGTGCCTTTTATTAACTATTCGTATACTTAGATTTTTACTAAAGATAAAAATCTAGACATTTTCGATAATTCCATGCAAGAAACTGAAGAGAAACAGGCTGTGCATAGCTTGGGTGCGTATAGAGTTGTTACTTTTCTAAGCATTATCTTTGCTTTAAAATTATGGTGTATTTTGTTATTAAACTGAGACTTATATTATTGGATTTATAGAAGCTGTAAAATTTGTAGAGAATGATTTAAAAGAAATTTTAATGGGTATGACTGCCGGCACTTAAGCATAATTTTCAATTTTAAGGCATATAGCTGTTTGCCTGCTAAGTCAAAGTATCTATTTATTACACAGGAATTATGAATAACCTGTTTGGTAATATAGAAACTAGATTTGTTGATGCGGTAAGATTATTGCTTTGCTACCATATATAATACATGTTTTATTGTTGTGGTTGTATGCCTTCGCTACTGTAATCTAACCATTTGGTAAAGGGTTTCAGAAATTAACGAATTTTTGATATTATTATATCTTACAGTATATCGTTCTTAATAGAAATATTTATTGTATAAAATCTTTCAGTATTTTCCATTCACACATCCATCATGGGAGATGGAAATTAAATTTCAAGGCGATTGGTTGGAAGTTTTAGGCTGCGGCATAATGAGCCACAACACTTTAGTAAAAGGAGGCAAGATAGGATATAAAGCAGTATTATATGATTTCATTGATATAGACTAATTTACTACGTGTTTACTTACTTATTTATAGGAGCTTCTAACAAAATTGGTACTTGACTTCTGCTTAACGTTATTCATTAATATTTTAAAGTATTCGTCATGATATTATACAATTAATTTCTACCGTACTATGATTAGCGATATTATAAATTTGCTCGTAATGGATAGGTTGGGCATTTGGAATTGGAATCGAAAGGATAGCAATGATTCTATTTGATATTCCAGATATCAGATTATTTTGGAGGTACTGCTATAATGCTAATTTTTACTTATGTTTTGATTTTGGGTGATTATATATTTCATGACGTATTATTGCTGACTTATCGTAGCAAAGACGAGCGTTTTTTATCGCAGTTTAAAGTGGATGATGTCATTAGCAATGTCAAGTTTAAGGTCAGATAGCGTGATGTTAGCCCTGTTCTAATTGATTCAACTCGAGATCGATTTAACAATAACTTGCTGGATTAACACTGTTATTTTTCTTATTGTAGCCTTTTAGCATACATCCACCTCTATACAATGATATTTCGTTTTGGCTATCACCAGCATTTTCTTTAAATAAGTATGTCATATTCTGTCATACGTAATGCAACTAATGGTGTATTAATTGTAAAGTTTAATTTGATGTAATTTTATTCAGTTTCTGTGACGTAGTGAGAAGCGTCGGAGGTGATTTGGTAGAACAAGTTTCATTAGTGAGTAATGGAAGCTATTTTGTTAAAATTAACACTAAAACTTCATCAATTTTTTAGTCGTATGAAATAACCAGAGCTGTTTTCAATCGTATTGTAGGTTGATGATTATACTGATGCTAAGACCGGACGACAAAGTCATTGCTATAGATTAACATATCGATCTATGGATAGGTACAGTACGATTAATTTCTGTATTTTGAAGAAATATCGAATCTTTCAACTACTTGTAGAATACTTATTTTTTCTTTGCTATTGAAGGACGCTTACGAATGAAGAAATGAATGTAATACAGGTTTGAGCGCTATTACGATACTGATATTTAGGAGTCAAGTATTAAAATTCTAGAAAATATTGGAAAGTGGATAATACTTATTATTGTAAATTTGGCTTTACTCTATGTGATATTTCTCTTGCTAAATAGGACCGCGTAAGATCGGCTGTCGAATTACAGTTGGGTGTTGAAGTCCGAAGAAATCGATAAGAAGTTTAATAGACTTTTTTAATTAGTACACCGAATGAGAAGACAGACATTAAAACGAGATGCAGAAGTGGCAATAAAATTATCAACTTCATCGGGAAGTTCTTATCGTATGGATCATAGATAGCTATTTTTATTTGTACATTAGTCACCTATAGTTTATTTCATTGCAATAAAATGTAATGTTATTAAACTAAATAAACATAACAACATTTTGGAAATATAACGTTTGGATGAAATGATTTACAAGAAATGTTTATGCTGGTGTGACTGCAACGAGACCGATTGTAGGATAAATCCGGAATTACGTATTCATAGGATTACTATTTAATCTTGTTGTAGAATGTATGCAATACGTCCTTGATAAGCCAATGTTGTTGAGTTGGAGTTTATTTATTTCATATCTGCTTTCATTTAAATATATGAATGTTCGATTTTGTTTTATGCTTACGCAGTAACTTTAGGATGCTGTAAATGGACCTAAATGCAAAGGGGGAAATACATCAGGAGTAACGTTACTAGTGATATAATTATTCGCTCAGCAGTTACTACTCAAATGAATAAACGTGTGTTACCATGAATCCGAGTGTTTGTTGACGATCACTTTCAACGATAACGTTTAATTTCGAGAATAGAGAAATTTCCTGAAATGTAATAGACGGTCAAGTTTTGTTAAGACTGAAGGAAATGCTTGTGCATTATTTATTTTGAATAATACGGTTGAAACCTGCGGAAATCCTTTGCTAGTTGATGTTGTTTTCCAATATAGAATTAGTTTAGCTTTTTTACGTACTCGAGTCAGCTTCCAGCTTTCCAGGTGAACGTTCTGAAAGCATGAAATGATACCTAAGTTAGGTCATTTACAAATAGCAGCAATCCTAAATATGATTTAATCAATGAACATTTACAAATATCAAAATCGAATCACTTTTACTTACGTTGCAATAAACTCTTTTAACTAAGCCATATTTAACTAATAAAACATCAAAAGAACTATCTAATAAAGATATAGCTATTGCATCTTCATGTAGAGGTTCGCAACTTCTGACAAAAAAGGAGAAAAACAATTCGGAGCTCTTTTTGCCAACATTAAACTGAGCTAGCTTTCGTTCGTTGCAAACTTTTGCTATAGATTCTAGTTTTGCTGTATTCGTGATCATAGAATTATCTTGTGATTTCCCTTCTAAAAGGTAGTGATTATATCATTATAGCATTATCTAGTGAGGTGGAATTTGAATACTAAAAGTTTATTCACCGCTTTATTTAAATTAACATAGTAGTAGAAGTTTACCTAATAAGTTAAATAATTGTCGATGGACGATAATATCTGGGTAACGTCGAATTGGTGACGTAAAATGTGTATATAACGGAATATTTAGACAATAATGCTTGAAGCTATCATGAGATTCAAATGTTCCACTACAGAAATATTCCGCTCTCTGTAAATCATACGAATTTGAAAGTGTTAAAGTCATTTATTTAGTGTACGATATATTTCCTCATGTACCGTAGTATAGGCTTACCGTCATAGCCCTTAAGAATATATGACTCACAGCCTGAGTGTGAATACCGTCTTTATCGTTCGTTCCGATCGCTAATAAAGAAGCCTGCATTATAATTTTACAATTATTGACATCAGTAACGGTTTTAAGTCAATAAAAATTTCCAAATATTTAACCTGAAGACTACGATAGTTGTCGCCATCACAGTGAATATCAAAGTTCTTGCAGTAATTAGTCTGCAAAAATAGTACATATAAAATTTAGATTAAATTTTAATATCGTTGTTTCGATTTTGTAGGGTATCTTACTAACCACTTTCGATATCATTTGAGCGCATGGCGATGGCTGTCGACGGAGGAAAGCTGTGCTAGTAAAACCTGTAAGGATTTTTTTAGCTACTGAGATGTTAGCTAAAAGCATAAATTCTTTTACCAATCTGAAAGAACATTTACATAGCAACATTTTATAAAGTCGTCAAATATTGATAAAAGTTTTTCAACTAATACTGATCATATTAGAAAGTATTCAATACCCATTACTTTCTTTCATTTCATATGTTTTACAGCTCGTTGGATAGCCAGAATCGCTGTCAAGCGAGAACCATTGTTTTGGCTAAATTACATACGTTTGTTAGGGTTTACATTACTATTGAAGGCCTCGTAATAGACCAAGATGTAGAAGACATCCATTCAATTTATAATATCACTTTAGTTTTTATCGGAATTATGAAATACCTGGTTCAATTCTATGGCTCCGGATGATAACCTTCCTTTCAGTAATTCTTGAGCAATCTTCAAAAGAGGACTTACAGATTAGCTTGTGAAATAGTAGCAAGAAACTTTGAGTGTATAGTGAAAGAAATAATACTTTTGTTTTTAGTTTACCTTGTTTAGATTTAATATGACACTGACAATTTTTGATACTGTATGGTCACCTAATTATTGAAAATGAGGAAATACTTTTAATGCTTACTTATACTTATTAGTTTTACTCGTCGCTCGTTACAGAGGCTATGATATAGAATCAAGACATCACTACACTTGATGTATAATGAAGTAAAATCTGATAGAATAAGCAATTTCACCATATATTTGAGGAAAGTCTTGTGATGTCCAGGTTTTTGATGGATTATCCAGAACACTCTTAGAATAGCGAAGAATAATATGAGGCGTAAATAGAAATGTCTAACAATCTAATTTAAAATTTCTACCTGTGCGTGGTCGTAGTTCATTTTACAACATGAATGTATAACTGACTTCCCAAACCATTCCTTTACTATCTATACACCACAGTTGATGAAAATTTTGATGAGATTTTTAGCTTCAAAAATGCAGTGTAATATCGATAGTATAGCAAAAGTAGATGCTACAGTTTGACTTGCGTAATTCTCATAACTATAAAGTTTTGTAAGTACCTTTCCGTTCGGCGTTAATTCCCAAACTACGGAAAATGTTAAACGGTCCTTTAGAGCAAGAAACAAACACATATTATCATTAATATTGTGTATAGTAACGTGCCGATTTACTTTAAGCTAATTATTCTATTATTAGGAATCTATCTATATTTAGAAAAATCAATGTTAAACGTTGGGTCAATCCAAGTATTGAATTATGCCAAAATGAAATGATAGACGAATATATTTACTTCGCCCGGATTAAGACTGCAGTAATTTTCACATAGTGCTGGAGGTAGCATAGTTATGGCCTAAAACATAAAATGTAGATTGTAAAAAAAAGCATTAGACTAATGTTTACCTGCTTTAAATCAGTATGTTCAAAATTTAAAATGAGTATATACTCATAGTAGTATAAGAAGTAACCTTTTGAACTAAGTAAAACGTCAGTGTTCTTTTGCTTGCTAACGTATCAACTGGGGTATTTTCTCGAACAAAGTAACTGACATCAGCAATATGCACGCCCACTTCAAAGTTACCTACACATTGTCAAAAACATAGTGATTACTTTCTGTACTGTATAATATAATAATCATAAACTACGTATATAATACCATTCTCTAACGGCTCGCATGATAGAGCATCATCAAGATCTTTAGCTGTTGCTGGATCAATGGTGAATATACATGATGAGCGTAAGTCCTTGCGGCATTTTAATTGTTTCTAAATGCAAGATTTATGACAACAGTAATATCAGTTTCGGATTGATCAAAGCAAAGTAAGCTTTCACTTATCGACTGTAGGAAATCTATATACCTTCGATATTTGCCAATCAGAGGGCAAATCTTTTAAAATCTAGAGAGATAGAATAAGCAGTGACTATAATTAGACATAGCTTGATGGTGTAACAGCGATGTCGAATAGACAATACGGTAAATTCTTAATTGCTTACTTGATCCGAAAATGGAGATGTATCTACTTGATATTCTGCTAGGATAGCCTGCGTTTCAGAGTCTATTTCACCTTCTCGCCCAAATCGTCTTAGCACTTTTCTGTAACAATGGTTCAACATTAATGATGGATATTTAATAAGATAGTAATACAGATAGGTTGTACCCCAAAGCAAAATGAGTTGTTGCTTTCCATTCAACAATTTCCACAAAAAATAAATCTGGATAGGGTTCCTCTGATGACTTCTGAAAATCTAAATCATCGATAATAAGGTTGATTATAGCAGTAATAATAAGTTATCATGTCGTATCTGTCTAGATTTACCTTTTGGGCATTGAGTTAAGGGCACTCTAATACGCGGTATGCGATGGTCGCGTGGTATAAATAGAGCGTGTCCGTTAGGCTGTAGGAGAAAAAGTTGTGATTACATCATTATTACGGAGCTCGCTCCATATATTTGATAAAATACTTTTATTATAAAGAAAAACAATACTTCGTTATAGATTGATGTGCTGATCGGAGCCAGATAACAAATGGTAGTTGTTAATCGATTACGATTACTCTAATATATGTAAAGCGGCAATTGTTGTTTGATACTAATTACTGAACTGCGAAGTTTATGTGCTAATTAATGAAGTGCTAAATAATAACCTAATAAGTTTACCTTGCAACATTTGATTATTATTTTGTTATACCAAATATTGCAATATATTTCCTATACTGAAGTATATAAATTAAATAATCTATGAAAGATGTTTTTGCACTAGGGATCTGATCATGCACTATATAAGAAGAACCAGCTAATTAATAAGCTGAATTCCCTGTGAGTTATATAGCGTACAGTAGTATCATTTAGGACTATTAAGACTAGTAAAATAAAAGCAATTAACCACTAGCATTAGTTGGACTATTCCCTGAAGTCAAGGAATAAGTTCGTTTTCCATACTGTAAATTTCCTAAGTTAGTTGGAAAGCCTTCCAAAGTGAATTGGTTTGGGAATAGTTCATAGAGCTACTTTGTGACAATCATTTAGCACATAACTAGCAATTGATTTAGTTAGGAATTTAAAGTTAGATACCGATCATAATAATGAAGTAGTGCAGAATTACTGCATAACTAAATATGGCCAGTCATAATTGCAATTTACCTTTTTTTCTTTCCGTAGAAGGCCACAGGTTTTCCGTGAACGCTTTTTTTCTTTGATGTATATCACCTAAATCATTATTTATCAAGGGTTACGATAATGCTAGAAAGTATTCATATTACTAGTCATGGATCAGTATAATGTACAAATAATAAGTTAAGCTTTTATCCATTTAGTGCTATTCTTTGTCTTGAGATAACAATTTGATTCATTTATGCGTACTTTGCCAGTCATTTGCAATGGTTGATCATTTTTGATAGTTGGTTCAGAGTCATTCTTAACTAGAGCTAATTTATTTTGCAATTGAGCAGATAACGCAGAAGCATCATGGTCATCTTCCATAGGCTGGCTTAAATATTCAACATCGCTTATCGGAAATTCAAAGTTGTCAACTGTCTGTTAAAAAAGATTGAAGACATTGAAAAGGCGACCCATTTCTTCTGCTTCAAATATCCTCATCAATCCGTTTTAAAATAGCATGAGCAAACTAAATTCATAATTGATACAATGATGTAGTTTTTACCTTCCATTCAGATTTAGGATTAATTTGTACTACCACAATGTCACCTTCTAAAGCCCTATTTCTGGCAGCAAATCCATCAATGAATATGTCTTTTTCTCCCTAAAATTGGAAGGCCGATATTGTTGATCATGGTTAAAATTACAGACTTTACATTATTGGTTAAGGAGAAATTCAAGAATAATTACAAATGAAGGAGATTACAAAGTACTTCCATTAATTTGGTATATCGTCTGATAGTATTTTATAACTTGATATCATTTTATAGACGTTATTTACCAAATTTATCTTTACAAGTGCTATACGAGTATTAATAGTGGAATGGATCAAGTACCGTACGGTAGTACTTTACTTCTGCAATGGCAGTGCATCCATTAATATACGTATTAGCAATAACAACAATTATACGACCATGACAGTAGCCTACAATATTGATATGTCGGTAGAGAAACAGATAGGTTGTCCTATATCTGTTATAATAGAATATCAAATTAGTGTATTCTACTGTAATGCTATATCGCAGTTTACACTATACCACGTGCAATACAACAGTTTTACTGAATGTCTGAATAATATTTAGCGCACTCTATGAAGGAGCAACATCCAGCATGTTAACAACAAATTCAATGGGGGAATAATTTATTCTAACGATGATCATTTCTACCTCTCTTTGCACGAAAGCTTCCTTGTAATTTTTAAGATTGATCCTAATAGGGCCCTAGCACGATATAAATGCATATTGAAAGTTTAATTAGTATGATTGCATAGAATTCTGATGCTATAACACACTGGTAATTGCTAGTTTGTATTGACAATCGTGTTTTACTTTTACTAAATCTCCTTTCTTGATTCCTTTCTTTACGGCTTCTTTTGGCCAATATTCTTCAAAGACCTGTAAGTATATTTTATAATTAGTGATAATACTGTAGTTAGCTTACTGTCCATTACAAATTGAATTCAAACATATCAGTAATTATTAATTCAAATGGAACCATCAAGATAAAACAACTATTTTTCCTCCATATTCATCTTCTACCAAAGTGGATATTTTAAATTAGGTATTTAATGTCATTTTGAAGTATAAAAATAAGTAAAGCAACTAAGAGCAGTATTGATATTGCAATTTCAATATAAGTTGCGCTATTTTACTTGTGGTAAGGTAGTCATTTAAGATTGATATTATCCTTCGGTCGGCATTGCTAAATGCCGACCAGGGGCATTATCAACTTTGTTCATGAAATAGGTTATTGTCTGGCATATCTGTTTGCTTCTGACATTTAAGATTGATACTATTATTCTGGTCGGCATTGCTAAATGCAGTAGGGCTTCTATCAACTTTGTTCATCAAACAGAGTATTGCCTGGCATATCTGTTTACTTCTGACCGTGTTATTAAATACTGTATACCTTGTATATACTGTAGGTCTTAAAAGCAAGAAAAGGCATTTGTTATAATGATAGAATCGAAGATAGTATCTGATGCTTGGGAAAGGACGCTAAATAGCCTATTGCAGCCTCTATATACACGTGAATGTTGTCATTGCTGCAGGCCCAGATAGGGTAGTAATCCATCGCTTGCAAGTTGCTTCTCGCAAATAGAAATTGATTTATTTGTGTCACTATTTCTAGATGTTGTTTTCGGTCTATTTATGGTTTACTTTAGAGCATCTATCCTATAGTAAAATGCGTATCTAATCCATTTGAAAGGATTCCTATCCAGCAATAATTTAATACCCAGACTCCATGAATGTATAATAGATCTAATAGACTGTCTAATGTAGAAAATACAAGTCGACCAACTACACATTAGCAACATTGCTTGATTGACCATCGGCCTCGCATCTTCATCACATCCATATAGAACTCTTGCCTCGATTGGACTACCTTTTAGCATTGGCTATAAACTGAGAAAGAAGGAAAGTTCTTCTGTATCATCTTGTCCTACCTTATGGCTATCACGGTGGTCATGATTCTTGCTTGGATTCTCTCCTGAAGCCATGCTTATTTCTCTTGGACAGTGAGCTATTGCCAATCTGATGGAGGTTCTTCCTGAAGTAAAATGGCTGATAGGAGTCTGACTCAGAACGATACTAGCGTTTATATGTGGTTGGGTAGCCTGAGGGAGATTGCTGACGAAGCATTATTGTTATTGATACACTTTACAGAATTGTTACAACATGCAGTAAACTCTATAATCGAGCGCTACTGAATGCGATATCTTCTTAACGCTATAGTCCTGTTTGGGGTAGTAGAGTGCGCCAGTATAAAGTGAACTGGCAAGGCAAAGGTCTCATCGATTGCCAAATCTCGATGGCAACGCGTAGCTAAGCTTGAAATTAAATCTCTTCAAAGAGAGAGTATGAGTCCATGTTGTACTATGCTATCACTGCTTGCAGTCAAGGTGAATCATGGCTAAGTTTAGATGGATGATCTATGTAGGAGTTGACCTACTGTACCAGGGGAAATTATCAAACCAAGGTTGATGTAGAACATCGAGCCTGCGAGTAGAGAAGGAAGACATTGATTGACTAGAAAAATTGTTCTAGCTTATTTTACACTAGTTTACACCAACCTTCAATCTTTGTAAACTATTAGTGAGCGGAATTTGATCTCAAATTGATTTTGTCTAACTTTATTGTGAGTTGTAGCAGTAGAATAAGATATAGTCAGCTTTGTTACATAGATATAGCTGTCTTTGCCACCAACTAGCCTAGCTTAGCTCAGGTTAGAATTATAAAGAAGGCTACAAGTTTGCAACATCGGCTTAGTTGTCCTTGCCACTAACTAGCTTAGCTTAGCTCAGATTAGAATTATAAAGAAGGCTACAAGTTTGCAACATCGGCTTAGTTGTCCTTGCCACTAACTAGCTTAGCTTAGCTCAGATTAGAATTATAAAGAAGGCTACAAGTTTGCAACATCGACATAGATATAGTTGTCCTTGCCACTAACTAGCTTAGCTCAGATTAGAATTATAAAGAAGGCTACAAGTTTGCAACATCGACATAGATATAGTTGTCCTTGCCACTAACTAGCTTAGCTTAGCTCTGATTAGAATTATAAAGAAGGCTACAAGTCTGCAACATCGACATAGATATAGTTGTCCTTGCCACTAACTAGCTTAGCTTAGCTCAGATTAGAATTATAAAGAAGGCTACAAGTCTGCAATATCGATATCGATATAGTTGTCCTTGCCACTAACTAGCTTAGCTCTGATTAGAATTATAAAGAAGCGCACGAGTTTGTAACATCGACATAGATAGTTGTCCTTGCCACTAACTAGCTTAGCTTAGCTCAGATTAGACTTATAAAGAAGGCTACAAGTCTGCAACATCGACATCGATATAGTTGTCCTTGCCACTAACTAGCTTAGCTTAGCTCAGATTAGAATTATAAAGAAGGCTACAAGTTTGCAACATCGACATAGATATAGTTGTCCTTGCCACTAACTAGCTTAGCTTAGCTCAGATTAGAATTATAAAGAAGGCTACAAGTTTGCAACATCGACATAGATATAGTTGTCCTTGCCACTAACTAGCTTAGCTTAGAATTATAAAGAAGGCTACAAGTTTGCAACATCGACATAGATATAGTTGTCCTTGCCACTAACTAGCTTAGCTCATATTAGAATTATAAAGAAGGCTACAAGTTTGCAACATCGACATCGATATAGTTGTCCTTGCCACTAACTAGCTTAGCTTAGCTCTGATTAGAATTATAAAGAAGCGTACGAGTTTGTAACATCGACATAGATAGTTGTCCTTGCCACTAACTAGCTTAGCTTAGCTCAGATTAGACTTATAAAGAAGCGTACGAGTTTGTAACATCGACATAGATAGTTGTCCTTGCCACTAACTAGCTTAGCTTAGCTCAGATTAGACTTATAAAGAAGGCTACAAGTTTGCAACATCGACATCGATATAGTTGTCCTTGCCACTAACTAGCTTACCTTAGCTCATATTAGAATTATAAAGAAGCGTACGAGTTTGTAACATCGACATAGATATAGTTGTCCTTGCCACTAACTAGCTTAGCTTAGCTCAGATTAGAATTATAAAGAAGGCTACAAGTTTGCAACATCGACATCGATATAGTTGTCCTCGCCACTAACTTGCTTAGCTTAGCTCTGATTAGAATTATAAAGAAGCGCACGAGTTTGCAACATCGACATCAGATAGTTGTCCTTGCCACTAACTAGCTTAGCTTAGCTCTGATTAGAATTATAAAGAAGCGTACGAGTTTGTAACATCGACATAGATATAGTTGTCCTTGCCACTAACTAGCTTAGCTTAGCTCAGATTAGAATTATAAAGAAGCGTCCAAGTTTGCAACATCGACGTCAATGGTAGTAAAAGAGTGGGCTGAAAACAGGAGTAAACGCAATATTGCATCATACTTTACAAACTACACATGTCTATTTATAGTATGGTATCTGCCTCGAAAAACCTAAAAGCATTTTCTACCATTTGGCGATTACTCATCATCGTCCCCAGTAAATATGCAATATTACGAGTATGTACTTATATCGTGGATACAAAATAGTCTGCTTTGCTTGCACTGCTGATTGCCAATAGCTAACTCGACTTGGCTCAAACTGTACAGGTATAAATCTTGCAAACTAGTTACAGCAAAGCTCATTTTTTTGCCTAGTAAGCATAATATAGTATGACGTCATACTGTAGGATTCGACTTACTACGCATATCTATTCCTAAAAATGGGAGAGCTTTTCCACCGTTTGCGATTGCTCATCATTGACGAACATACAACTAATTCTGACAGAACACGAGCTAGCCAGGCTTAGACTGTAAGATGGCATAAAAACTTGCAAGTAGACTGTCGATATTCACTTTAGACATCATAATCAATTTACAAATCGTCATTGGTACTAACGAACGGACGGTCAAAACTTTGACATCCACCGGAAAAAAATGAATTACCAGTTAAAAATAGACAGCAATCGTTTGTAGGTGAAAAAGTCCAAGCTACACAGCATTGACTAATGTAGAAGCATTAACGCTACCATACTTGCTGCTATTAATAGTATGCACGTATGTATTGAGTAGAAATAGTTTGATTGCATTGCAAATATATCACATGCAGTGCTACAATGCATGCGATCTGCGTGAAGAAATACAGAGTTATAAATAGCAATCAACCTTATTTCAATATTTCCTACTCGTATATGCTATACTGTACAGACGCTACCTAATTTGTAATTGAATAGCAATGTTGTTACGATGCATTCAATAATAAAATAAATCGTTTATTGAAAAGATATTTATAAACTGAATGACATGATCAACTTTTGCTCTAAAGACAAAAAACTGCCCATATGTACCCATACCCTATATATAAGTAGTGTACAAACGTTATTAGTTTAAGATATAGTGAAAATAGTACATCACATCATTTGCGACACGGTTACTTTCTTCATACCTATGAGTGGATGACTTAACCTAATCATAGTTTATCATATTTCTGAAGATATCTTACGCTAAATCGGTTTTATTTCTTGTAACAAAGATCAGCTGATCCAGTTGCCATCAATATTGGAATTGTATATCATTTCATAATTATTTCATGTATTAATGAGTGCAGACTCTTAAGTGTAATAAGAACTTCATAGAGAGAAAATGGATATTTCAATTCATTTTTAAAATACGTGTATACGTTATAATTCTGCCTGTATGTATCCAACAAGTATTAGCAAATAGGATCACTTGTGGGATAGCTTGTAGAATAATGAGCAATAGAGGATAGAGATGTAGAGCTATAGGAAACTTGCTTAGTAAAGTCATGACGTTACCAGAAACTTGCAAGGATAAATCATGTATTTGGTATTAAGTTAAGTCTGTAATTCACCATCCTAAAAGTATTGTAATGTCTGTACGCGTAGAATCGAAATCAGAAATGATTTCAAGAGAGATGTCAGATATCATGGCATTAATAAATCGCCTGTACATTATAGTTGATAGCTTTTGAGTTATTTACCATATTCATATGACATGTATACTAATTTGGAAAGCGCTGTAATAAATAGAATAAATTTTTCAAAAAGTAGATTATAGTCTGGTAGTTTGGGTTGGCATAGGATGCAAAATCATAGCGGTAAAAGACCTCAATTACCAAGGAGATGCTGACTGTCTAGCCACAAATCGCTGATAACTTTTGTAGTTCGATTCCGCTATTGTCTCTGCAAATGCTCGATCATCAAATTTGACTAAATCTTCAAATGGAATAAGTTTCTCATCAAGAATCTGTAATGAGGTTACATATCGAATTCGATTTCGAAGTTTTTCTAGGGGTTCACCAAATACATTCGGATATTCGACAATATCTCTAACTTCATAAGGTGATTTCAGTTTTTCCTGTAACTGTTGAATAAGTGATCTTGACTGTTTACGATGAGGATTATCATTCTTCTTGTTAGTAAAGATTAAACCAGTCTTATTCATCCATTTCCAAATGGCATCAATTTTGGCCAAGTCGAGGGTTACGAAGCAAGGATATTTTAGGATTATTTGTTGTATTTGATCTTGACTAAAATAATTGTTTTTCAACCAAAGTAAGGAACGTGTCGAAGAACTGCTCTTGATGGATAATAATCGTGGACAATCGATAATAATCTTTTCAATATCTTGAACATCGAATTTCAAAAAGCCATTTCGGAAAATATCAATTCGCTCTTGCAATTTCAATGGGGAATAATTTAAAGATGTCGGATTGCTCTGAATGATGGTAGCTATCGCTTTATCGGTTGAGATGATTGATCGCAAGTAATCAATACGAGGTAGTATCTCGCGTACTGTATGCATCGTCATTAATTTAGGAAAGGTAACAATCATTCCGACCACATCGTCTTTTGTCATGCCTAAATCGGTGAAAAACTCGATACGTTGTTGCAATTCAGGCCTTGCTGCTAATATAAAACGATGGCCTTTGGTTATAACGATACTTAACGAGTCTTCACTGATGCCTAAATTTTGCAAGAATGCAACATGATCTTGAACTATATCTACCTTTCTCTTGGTTATAGGAGCATTTTGTAATAGCAATTTCTCCACATCAGCACCTAATGAGTATAAATATTGAGTTGTAGGGGTGATTTTTTTCAACTTTTTAAAGAAGTGGCTTCGTTTTGCTAGCCATACATAATTGCATTGATGATGTCTTAATGACCGGCCGATCGTCATGATCGATCTTGCAAGCTGCCACATGATGATCGATGGCTTCAATTATAAATCACTTCCAATGCGTTGACTAACGTTTGTCCCTGGTGATACCTCTAGATTGCTTGTAGGCTCCTTGGGTGTTGCTTTCTTTCTTGATCTCTGTCTGATGATCGATGGCTTCAATTATAAATCACTTCCAATGCGTTGACTAACGTTTGTCCCTGGTGATACCTCTAGATTGCTTGTAGGCTCCTTGAATGTTGCTTTCTTTCTTGATCTCTGTCTGATGATCGATGGCTTCAATTACAAATCACTTCCAATGCGTTGACTAACGTTTGTCCCTGGTGATACCTCTAGATTGCTTGTAGGCTCCTTGAATGTTGCTTTCTTTCTCGATCTCTGTCTGATGATCGATGGCTTCAATTACAAATCACTTCCAATGCGTTGACTAACGTTTGTCCCTGGTGATACCTCTAGATTGCTTGTAGGCTCCTTGGGTGTTGCTTTCTTTCTTGATCTCTGTCTGATGATCGATGGCTTCAATTACAAATCACTTCCAATGCGTTGACTAACGTTTGTCCCTGCTGATACCTCTAGATTGCTTGTAGGCTCCTTGGGTGTTGCTTTCTTTCTTGATCTCTGTCTGATGATCGATGGCTTCAATTACAAATCAGTTCCAATGCGTTGACTAACGTTTGTCCCTGGTGATACCTCTAGATTGCTTGTAGGCTCCTTGAATGTTGCTTTCTTTCTCGATCTCTGTCTGATGATCGATGGCTTCAATTACAAATCACTTCCAATGCGTTGACTAACGTTTGTCCCTGGTGATACCTCTAGATTGCTTGTAGGCTCCTAGAATGTTGCTTTCTTTCTTGATCTCTGTCGCTAGGCTTTCAATTACAAATCACTTCCAATGCGTTGACTAACGTTTGTCCCTGGTGATACCTCTAGATTGCTTGTAGGCTCCTTGAATGTTGCTTTCTTTCTTGATCTCTGTCGCTAAGCTTCCACGTTGAAAATGGATGCGCTCAATATCATTGCAGCACACACCTATCCAGAAAATAAAACCGTCTACCACTGGTAGCGTAGTATAGCAATCAATTCGCTAGTATTCTCCCCTTTTCAATGTTGCATGTTGATCCTCATCGATTGAATAATACTGTACTATCGCCACTATTGCCAATTGGATCGATTTCTCGAGCTGGAAAGCTGGAACTTGCAGCTGCTAGCTTGCACCTCTGCTGGACTGCCGCAGCTGAATGCAGCATACTGCCTTTCCACATCCTGTTGCTACTTGTAGGTCCCATACACTACTTTCCATCACTGGCTACAGTAGGCTAACTGGTAGGGCGTGAAAAACTAGACTCGGCTTGATCAGCTCCATGTCCTTCCATCTTGTCAGTCTGTATTACACGATATAGTCCTGTAGAGGAGTAGACTACCCTTTCATACACTATCCTACGAAGCAGCCACAGCGAGCTCAGAAGCATGCTGCAGTAGAAAATCCTTCCACAAAGTGTTGAAATAAATCATCGTTGGCTGTATTGCATAGCTGATCCAAGTGGCATAGGCTAATTTGATATACAGAATAACTATTCTAGTATAGGATAATATTGTTAGTATCGTAGCTGTACAAGATAGACTAGTATTAGCCATCTACTGACGCCATCTTCCATCTTGGAACGTAGACGACGTGGGTACGAGATCATTTAGTGTGCCGATTTGTGGTTTGGCTCATGTCCATGATGGTCGCAAGTTGATTGCAGACTGGATAGAATCAGGTAACCTTTGATTCCCTTTGCTTATTTCCCCCCTAGGATACTGCTGTAGTCATGCACAATGACTTCATTCTCCTTCAATTGAAAAAAAAAATGCATAATATTGTGTTAAATGAACTTTGCAAGATTGTAGGATAAAATCAGCTGGTAGTAGGGATGATAGCAAGAATACGTAGAAATTGACACGTAATCGTTGAAGGCAAACTTTCCTGGCACAATGCTGATCATAGGCTCGTTATTTCAAGCCAATTTTACACGTATGACTGGATACCTGTTTAAGAAAACGATGTATACTCATTGTGGGCAGTTACTTGGAAGTCGATGCACCCAATGCTATCCAATAGTCTTAGTACGACGTACCTATTTCTCCGGTAAAAATGCATCATTAGATGATCAAAGCAGAATCTATTTACAATCGTTAGGTGTCGACCTCGGCAAAGTAAATAAAACTTTTCGCAATAGAATTATTTGGTCGCTAGACGTCATTGAACCCAAAATAAGGATATTATTGAAAGCAGGTATAGAAAAGAGTTCTATTTGTCAAATGATCATTTATAGACCACGAATTCTAAACATGAACGAAGATATTTTAAAGATTCGATTAGTATTTCTTAAAAGTTTAGGCTTAACTGAAAGCAAATTGAGTAAGCTACTCTCCGAGCATTCTTTCCTTCTGACGTATCAAGAATCAGATGCCCAAAATCTACTAAGCTTTTTACAGTCTCGCGATTTTAATAAATTTAAAGCATGGGATATTATCATAAAGCGTCCACGATTAATTCTGGTTGGCGCTCAAAATCTCCGTCATACGGTGAAGTTATTGAAGGATAACGGTCTAAGCCCTTTGGATATCAATAATATAATCACCCATCATACTTCTATTTTATTGTTACCTATTTCACAATTGAAAAAAGTCATTGACGTGATTAGTTTATATCAATCTGATAAAGCTAGCATTCAAGATATAATATCGAATCATCCTTCAATACTACTATTAACTTACGTTGCTATAGCTAATATTGCAAATTGGTTGAACCATTGGCTTAGACTATCCAATGCTAGATAGGTTTCATCATGTTATATCCAAAAGCATTGCAATGACTACAAATCGTTTAGCCAAGACAGTAGGATATTATCAAAGTTTAGGAATTGATATAGACTTAATACGCCGGATATGGGTATCCAATCCTGCCTATCTGCAACATGGTCATGAAGTTCTATCTAATCAACTTCATTCATTAATTCAGCTCAAATTTACGGAAAAGCAAAGTAGAATGATATTCGACCTCAATCCATCCATTTTAGGACACAGTCAAAATTCTCTTCAACGAAAATGTGATTATTTAATAAAGAAAATGGGTTATTCTCATCAAGTTATTGCCGAAAATGCTGCAATACTAAGCTGCTCTTTGGATACAATCATGTATAGATATTCGTCTTTGAGTAAACACTCCGTTGATAAAGAATTAGTACCAATTGCTCAATTATTGTTGTCTACTGATGATGCTTTCCAGGAAGATATTCTAAACGGTAGGAATTATATCGAAATAGAATCCAAGGATACGATGGAATTACAATCAGAAGGAAGCAAGGAACAGCATTGTAGCTAGTTCAATGATTGCTCTTAATAATCTCGTACATACCACATTGCTATGATCTATGTCGGATGTTGTTGTTTTATATTATACCGAAATAAATCCTACTTTATGTATTGTAAATGGTTTGTTTAATAATGCAGTTTTATATCATTAGAAAGTATATTGGAGAGAAAATTTCATATTACATTACAACATTATTGCATATCGCTGCAAAAGAGATTAATATTTATCAAAGTCTGTCATTGTAAATTATAAACATTCTACGCTTATCAATGTGCAACAACCTATTTCATTTTACAGCATATGTGCGTTTGCAAATAAAGAAATGGAATGATTTTAGAAACTGCGTTCATTCTGGTAGCGTAATCTGAGTGTGATTCTATTTGTTAGTAAGGATAGAGATTGTATGGTGGGATTAGGGTTTTTAAACTTTAGTAAGGCATATACTGTAGTACAACTTGTACCAGCACTGACTTTTCCTTGGCAATGATAGACATATTGATAATGTAAAGTACGCAAAGTGTAATTTTTATTGAGCAAGGGATCGAATTTACAACAGTGTACTACTACACATCATTATTACAATAATAAACATGCCTCAACATTGAATTTCCAAATAAGAAAATAATACATATATAGATATGCTGTAAACATATTGAACAGATTATAGTACTGGTATTGGCAGGGCATTTTTTCTGGCCGTACGTTTGAAAGGTAGGTCGGCAATAGTTAGTTTTACCAACTTTAACGTCAATCTAAGGCCTTCCATATGAAAATCATGATATTTTTGATTTATTCTTGGATGATAATGATATTATGCATGCACATAATTTTATCGAACTAGTTATAGTATGCAAATGCTATAGTATAAGCTATCTATCCAATCATAGCTGTGTGTTGAAATACACATTGCACACTATATGCAGCTTATAGACAGATACTTTAATATGGCGATGACACTACGCTTTTTTAGTATCTATCAATAGACTACTGTCACACACCACTAGTGACAAAGTAGTCTACACACGCCAATCCTGCGGAGTACGCCACTTACTACTTAAAGAGGCGAGATTAGCTATATCACCAAATAATTCAGTTCCAACGACCGAATACTATGGTATAATTATAGCGTCACAGATGATGTAGACGAGATAGTCAGAGATTTACTATCATTTATTACTGAAGGAATCTTGGCACCCAAGATTATAGACTTTACAATTAAATATCAATTGAAAAACTAGTTGACTATCTAACCGACTAACGAACTAAAAAGGAATCTTCAGGCACCAGCCTTTTATAGTCTCGTCAGAAACTCCCGGTGCACATAATATAAAAGTATCCTTTTAAAGTTATAATTAGGACGAGCTTACGCATCGTAACAACTACATATAGAGATATATCACAATCAGTTATAGCATAATGAATACTCCTGAATTACATTGATCGATTTTAATAACGCAACCCATGATATCGCTCAATATCATGTAAAGTAGAAGGTACAAGTATAGTATACAAATGTACGAGCGAGGGATCGATTAGTTTTACGTAAAATTGGAATAAATGGTCAAGATCTACTTATGTTTAAGCGAATAAAATGGCTATTTCTGCCTCTTACAATTATGTGGTAGCTTAGAAATGAGGAAGAAAGAGTTTCATCAAATTTGAAGTTACAGTAAGGTGTATTAGTGAATCTTACAAAAATCAAACTTATCATGCCAATAATTAATTAATTGGCGGCAATTTGTAATACTTGTATAGAGCCGCTAATCGAAAGCAGTAATAAAGATTTAACTTAAGGTTTGCTAAATGACTTTTTATTTTTTTAGTATTTTTGATTCATTTCGTGGAAGACATTAATGTTCGTTCCAAGTTGAAAGCAAAACTTGAAGTCATTTACCACATTTAACTTCTATCTCTATCTAGTTGGAAGATCCCAAGTATACAAACTATGGTGTACTCGATTTATTCTTACAATAACATCGTTTCATTTCATTTTTTATATTTGTTAAGAGTTAGACCATAATGGGTAATACAACTTAACTCTTGAATCCTGTAGAACAGATCTCACTTCATTTCTAAATATCAGGGCTTTACGCGTATATAGCAACGGTTGTTACTTACTATAACGATAAATATGCCCCATGTAACATGTTCTACAAATGATAAATTTATATCATTATATCAGTATACCAATATCCTACGGCAGCAAGATATATACTATGCAATACCTTATGGAGATAATACTATATGATAACATTCAAACATAGCAATATTAAACTGATATGAAAGATTGCTTTTGACTCATTGTTAAAGGTTAATAATACTATATAGTAGCTCAGAAGCGTGAAATTAAGATATGGTCTGAAATTTTAAACTACAGTGTATTGGGTTAATTAATCCTTACAAAAATTAAACTTATAACTTGCAATTGCCCTAGTTATGCCTTGCAGCCCGCTGTTAAACTAAAGCCCTGATATAGACTTGAGTTCAACTGGAGATTGGCTACATTATTTCTCTTCTTTTAGCATTGCTGGTTTATCAAATAGAGAATATTAGGCTAAAACAGTTAATACATATCAGTAGATCTGCAACTCTGCTGTATATAAGCATATAGCATTAGAGAGGAAAGCATACTCTACAACTGTGCAATGTAGTTATTAAGTCAAATTGGTAGAAGACAAAAGGTATCTCGCCATTCTTTATTACAATAATTTATTCATTTCTTCAAGTCATGGCTAGATAGAGAAGACCTGGACCCACGCGAAAAATAATAACAAAAAGATAATAAAAGGAAATAAAAAATATAACACTAAAAATCGAATATATACGCCGCGCGAGCGCAAAGAAATAT